CCTCTCCTTTTTAATTTAATTTTTCCTACTCTGCATCTTCTTGTTCATTTGTTTTCTTCTTTCACATTTCTAAGTTATAGTTTTGGAGGGAACTGCAAAAATCTGAAGATATGGCTCATTTCCTACTCAGTGCTATCTAACTGTCACTGCAGCAGGGCTCCTCTCTCCCCACTTCCCTTTTCAGTCTCAGTGACTCCACAGCACCTCAACACAGAGACTCCTTTCTAAACTGTTTCTGCTCTCGTAAGGCTCCATTTTCTTTCCACACCTAAGCAGCCTTACAAAGTTACACACGAGGCTGCACTCATACTTCACAATGACTGCTGAGAATAATTCTGCCTGCTTTAGGATGAGCCCCTTCAAAAGCAGATACTGAGAAAAGGACTAGGGACCCCAGGAAACACTGGGAGGCTGGATGGGGGTGAGGTGAAAAAGGAGGGAAAGCCAAGGAAGGGTGTGTTGTGGGCACCTGGGGTCAGTCTCCCTGCGGGGTCTCCTGGAAGCAGTGCAGACAGATCATGCCTCAAAGTTGTTTCACTCAAGAGGCAAAAGCCTGCGTTTACCCACAGCCTCCCATCTGGCATTGGTTGAGGCAGTAACTCTCTGGCCCCTCTATTCTGTCTTGGGTGTGGGCCAGTGCAGATCTCACAATCAGATAAAGACAACAGAAGAGTCATGGGACTTGTAAGAAACAGCCAGTATGTGTGGAATGCTGAGTGTCAAGGGGACACAGAGAAGAACCAACAGCAACCTATATTTCCTATACATCTAGCTTTATTACAACATGTACTACTCTTGTTTCTAGCTACTCATCCTCTTATTCAGTGTGCTAAGTACTCTAGGGGACATCATTCTCATTTAATCCTTTCTACCACAGAAACTGACATTGTCTCAACTTTGTATAAGAAGAAATTGAGGAATTTAAATTAAGAGATTTCATGAAAATTACCCAGTTAGTACATTCTGGAGCTGTGATTTTAAAACTCAAACATCAGTGCATTGTTGCTAGGGATATAGCTCAGTAGTGAGACCCTTGGATTCAATCCCCAGTATTGGGAGAAAATCATTGAATTTTTTAGTATGGCAGAAATCCAAGGGCAAAATCTTGGGAACTGTGGGACAACTGTCATTATTAGCAATGTCCTGAAGAGATGGAAAAGAGTAGAAGGGGTTTAATTTGGAGAAAGAAACTTCCCTGAGAATAATTTCCACCCCTGTTCCCTAACTCTGCTTTTCTTGACCCTACTTTCTAAAACTTACTAGGCCAGAACTTTACTGTTTTCATCCAGAAGCCTTATACAATTATTAAGAACAAAGATCAGGCAAAATGCAATTTTCAGAATAGGTAATGCCTGGTACGTATAGTAATAAGTAATTTATTCAGTAATTATATATCAATCACCTACTACATACCAGGCCCTGGGTTAGATGCTAAGAATACAACAGTGAGCCACAAATATTCAGATATTAGACATGAGTCACTTTTTGAATATGACAAATATATACCATATTCTCAAATTGCCTTTAATTATACAGAACCATTGACTAATTCTGGCCAATTAAGATGAACCTATTATTGTTTTTTTCTCAGCCTGGATCTGCCTAGACTTATTTTTGACATTTAGTAACCCGTACAAAATGGTGATGTGAAAACAGCACATTCGACAGAGGATCATTGTGAGAATTTAGTAAAATAATAACTGCCAAATTCCAGGCATTTAATGTAATTTGTCACACTTCTCTGTATAATAGACTGTAAGTTCCATAAAAATAGACTCTGAAGTTTTACCATTGTACAAGCAGCTTTCAGAATAATGTTTAGCACACAGTGGGTCTTTGGTTGCACCAGTGGCTTAGCTGGGTGTGGTGGTGCATACCTGTAATTCTAGCACTATGGGAGACTGAGGTAGGAGGATCTCAAGCTTGGGTAACTAAGCAACTTAGTGAGACTGTCTCAAAAAAAATGTCGGGGAGGCTGGGGCCTTTACCGTGAAGGCCCTGGGTTTAAAATTCAGTATGCCCCCCCACAGCAAATTGGTTGGCTGAGTGAGTAAGGAGATTATTACTCAATTTTTCAGATGAAATAAATACTCAAAGAGACCAATAAATTGCTTGACTTCTAAACACTTGTAGATTTGAGCTACAGAAATCTCCACTTGTGGCTTCTAATCTAGACAGATCTTAACCTTCGGGAGCCTTGGTTTCCTTCAAGAAGGGGCAAGCCATTTCCTGCTTTGTGGCTGTAGAGTAGAAATGCGATGTCATAGATAAACAGCTCATGTCTACTCTCACTGTGATAAGGGGGGGCCTAGGAGGATGCCAGGCAATACCCACTACATCTGCAGCTCTGCTTGCTGAGAAGAGCCTGCAGGAAAGTCGAAATGGCGCATGACTTGTTATGTTGTGAAGGTTCCTCCTGGCTACGTAGAATTCATAGCCCTTTCCTGGTTTTCTCATAATTATTAATAAGTAAGAAAATCCTTTGGAACAGAGAAGGTCTTATGCATGTACTGGATACAGCAAAAGAAAAAGGGAGCTGGGGAAAGATGTGAGTAATAACCAGTGATCACCATTTTACTGCTTTTGCTACTTCATGCAAACTTCTATATTTTCTGTAACATACCTAAGCATTCCCTCCTCCCTGACATCCCTACCTTCCTGGCAGTATGAGGTCCATAACTTTTTACTCTCATCTTAGAAAATGCAGTAGATCAGCAGGTTCAGTAATTTGCCCAAAGTGACACAGTAAGAGCTCCAGGGTTTGGAGAATTTCTTTTATCCCTAGTAAGGGAGAAGTTGGGGGACCACTGTACCCGCAGAAAGACAAGACCATCATACTGAGCAAGCCAAGAGCAGCCTAGGAGAAGAACCAGAACAACTGTACTGTTTCCAGTGGAGTAACCAGGAAAATCTGTGGAGTTTCCCCAAAGGGGCTTTCTCTGGGGGAGATTCCAAGTTCTGGGAATCCCTGGACCTCCCAAGAAGTTTCTCACAGCACCTGGCCCAACCAAATTACATACCCAGTGCCCTGAAGAGGAGGAAATCAAGAGCAGGCAGACTGTTGCCTGGTGGCCAGGAAAGGTCTCCGTACTGAACTGATTAAAAGTAGACTAAACAGTGCCGAGACTTTTCTTTGTCATGTCAACCCTGCTGACGTTACCAGCAATGAAAGCAGAGGACTTAGACAGAGGGGAGGTCGAGAGAGGAAGGAAGTGCTCTCTCCCTGCCACCAAGTCTTCCTTCCAGAAATGTGTCTGGATGAACTGGAGAGTCTCCAGTCACTGGCCTGTGATTTAGACTCCCAGTGACTTTAGATGAAGGTGTGGGCTGGTTACACAGAGGATCTGAGATGACTGTTAGGGACCCTTGGCTTGTTGTACCACCCATAGCATCTTCTAGTATTTGCTTAGTGTCCTGAGGTCTAGGGAGCCAGATGTGAAGCCAGAAGAGCCCCTTTCCAGGTGTGTCACTCTGCACCACCTGCCTTGAGTGAGAGATGGACCTTACACTGTCTCTAATCCTGATTGAGTGGTCTGTATGGCTTACTATCTCCAGCGCCCTGACAGCGGGCAACAGAGTTAGCACCTGTTGTGTAAGTGCCAGCACAAAGAAGACACCCTGGCCTGTACTCCCTTCAACAGACCGGATTCTATAAGATTTCTGAAATCAGACAAAGAGAGGAAGGGGGAAAAAGAAAGGAAGAGGGAGAGAAGAAAAGAGGGTGAAGGAGGAGAAAGGAAGGGGAGGGGAGGGAGAGACAGAAGGGCAAGGGGCAGAGGGTGAGAGAAATAAATACAAATTAAAGATGGATTCTGTGATGTTCAGTGCCCAGGGAAGGCCTTTTTATTGAGGATTAATAGCCCATTTAACCCATGTACTTTTTGTTGCATAATTTTCCAATGTAATAAAATAATTCATAATTAAGACAGGTTTTGGTAGCTCATTCTCATTTCTTCTAATCTCTGTCTTCAAATCGCCTACCAATCAGTTCCTTTAATATCCAGATCAAAGGTCACATTCCCAACAAGTCCATATCTCAATAACCCTTCAAATGAGTTCTAGGCGACTTGCAATAACCAAACTTTATTATACGCCATACAAAATATTTCAAAATTATTAAGTCATTTAACTGTTAAAATGTAGAAAAACAACATAGAAAATGAGTCAGCTATCCACCTAGTGCCCAGAGATAATCAGTTACCATCGTCATGCACATTTTTTAAGTCTTTCTGGTTTGATCGTTCTCATTGTTTTGTCAACTCACTCTTCTACCATTTAGGAAAATATCAGAAGCACCTCTGTTATGTGTGTCTCTGCTTCTCCCTCGCCCTTTACCTCTACCCACTGCAGCGGCGCACTGTAGCCCACAGTGTTTTTCATAGCACTGCAAGAGTCACATCACATCTTACCTCAGCTAATGACACACAGCTGCCATTTACATCGTGCTTGCTGTCACTCTACTTACCTGTATCGATTCACTTAATCTTTGTAATCCTCGGTGTTGGTTTAATTACTATCTTCCAAACTTCACAGATAAGGACAGTGAGGCATAAAGACTTTAAGTAATTTGTCCATGATTATGCAGTTAATAACTCTAGGCTGGAATTTGAACCTGAGTTAGGCTGACTCCAGACTGATCTCTATACTCTAACTGTTTGCAACGGAGCAGCGAGTAATCAGCAGTTCCTCCCATGGTCTGACCCTTTCATTTTGCAAGTTGCAAACAACAGTGTGAAAATTTTGTCCAAGGTCAACCAGCTGCTTCTACCACAATCAGCAACCCCCACCCCCACACTGCCCTTGCTAATTAGCTGAGTATCTGTCTTTACTCTCCCTTCCTCAGTCCTTGGAGCCAGGGTCATACAGCTTTATTCATCTTTATAACCCCGTCCTGTGGCACAGTTCCTGGACTGTGGTTACCACGCAAAATAAATGTGGAAAGAATAAAAGGCTTTGTTTTGATTGGTAGCAACCAAAGAAAATATTTTGCATGAAGCGATCAGTTAACACCCGTGTAAATAGAGTGCACTAGGTCTGATCTGGGTTTTCCCTTGTGGACTTGGCTCTCCAACACAACACAAAACAAGAAGGTAAATTTGTCCACGTTGGAAATCTGTACTCCGTCTGAGGTAGGTGGCCGGGGGCACCAGCAGAGGCCAGCTGTGCTGTGGAGCACTGGTGTTCTCATAAGGGAGGTGTGAATCTGGGCTGGAGCCTTTGTTCTCCCCCATCTCCTACCCACTGCCCTGCTCCAGTGTTGGAGCTGACTTTATTTCAATGTCCTTTTCCACATGTATCCTGTCTGATGCTTGGCACTGTGTCAACAGGCAAATCGCATCTGTTGTGTCAGAGCAACACCGGGACCCTGCGAGTCACCTTGCATCATTATTAACTGCCACGTCCCGTTAGACAGAGCTGGTGTCAGAAGAGGATACATGTGGGTTTCACAGCCAGTTCTCTCTAATGCATGGTTGGGTTTAAAGACACAGACAGCTGAATGGGCTGTCTTGGTTTGGGGTTTCCTTTTATGGTCTCCCACAGCAGCCATTCAGGGTCCCTCCACTGGGTAACCCTCCAACTCATCTGAAATCCTCCTATGCTTTACTTTTGACTCTGTAAAATCTGCGGAAATAGGCCCACTCTGAATCAGCCTCTGAGAACAGGGCTCATCCTGGTGGGTAAAGCTAGCAAAAGCTGAGTTTGTTGTAATGGAGGAAATAGCACCAGGAAAAAGGCCGGAGCACAAAGCAACCAACACTCATTAGGCCCGCACTGTCCCATGGGAGACATACATAAGTGGCTGGGAAGCAGCTGAATCTGTCAGTTTGTTGGGGGTGGCTCTGAAAAGATCTTTGGGATACTTTCCATGCTTCGTAAAACACAAGGCTTCATAGGCAGGAAATTGCCAAGAGGTCTGCTTGATCCTCATTCCTAATTATACACTGGAAGGGAGCTTTTCAACATCAAAAAATTCCCCCAGTGAATGAGCAGAAGCTATTGTAGGTCTTTCAAACAGAGCCAGAGAACAATGGCTAACACTGATTGAGCACTTTAACGTGCTCAGACACTGCGCTGGTGCTAACAGAAATCCCACACCTGTTCTCAACCCAAAATGCTATTTCCATCCTGGCTTTTCCAACAAGGAAACTAAGGCACGGAAAGGTTGACGGGCAGCAAAGAAGCTAGGGAAGCCATCTTCTCATCTGAAGTAAACACATTTGACACTGAAACTGGTTTCATTGAGTATTTTCCCAGAGATGTCCAAGGCCAGTCTTAGAGATACTACTACGTGCTGTACTTTTTTATTCTTCCAATGCCTATTGAACACTTACTGTCGGCTAATCACTGGGCAAGGCTATAGGAATTTAATTATTAGTAAGTAATTTCTATTGAGTTAAATTCTCTATGTGCTTAATCTCATTGATTGTCACAACTATGTTAGGTAGGTACTATCATGATCATGTAAAGGATGATGTTTAAAAGAGGTGAAGCATTTGTCAACTATGTATTACTTCTCACACTGCTGTAATGGAGGAAGCCAGGATTTGAGCTCAGTTTGATCTGACCCTTTTAGGGTCAGACCAATGCATGAAAGACAAAGTAAAATTACAGCAATTGGAGGTGATCAATATGTACACAACTGATATGGAAAAAGGAGCAGACACAGAGAAGAAAAGTTGGAATTATTATTATTTAAACATTTCTTTCTGAATGCCCTTACAAACAAGCTAGCGAATCTTCTTTCCAATATCCCCATTTGCTATTCTTGCGGTCCTTACAGACCCACTGCTCTAGAATGCAGCATACAAACCACAGTTCATCAGTCCAAGTGGGGCCCAGCTTGTGGTTTTCTCTTTTGCTGTCTTCCAGTGCTAAATCATGTAGTTAATGAACTGATTTGAATGTGCTCACTTAAGCAGGTGACCCATGGTAGAGTTAATACACACTCCATGGGAATCCTGAGACCAGAGGATTGAATTAAGCAATCTGCATGTTCTGATGAGACGGAGTTTACAGCAACAGTGAGATGCCTGGTCCATGACAAACATTCGACAGAAGACATTTCCAAATAATTCATATCGGGACCAGTTATTCCGAAGCAAGTAAAGAAGGTTTTGACATTTGGATACAAAGCCATGGGTGCACTTTGAAGTTGACCTGCCACCTTGTGGAAGTTGGAGGGAATAAAACATGGCTGTTGAGTAAGACACTGCAATAGTGATATATGGGCTAATATCTCCCTTTGTCTCGCTCTGAGCCAGGGTCTCACTATGCAGCCCCCGGCTGGTCTCCAGCTCCTGGGTCAGGTTTTCCTCCTGCCTCACAGGAGGGACAGCAGTACCTGTCCTGCTGGGTTATTTTATAATTAAAACTAAAATTTTATAATTAAAATTTCCTAATGAAATCAAGTAGCTGGCACTACAGGTGCATTCCCCTGTGCCCAGCTTACGCTAACTGTACTGAGGCCTTGGCATGTGCTACGTGCTCTGCGGAACATCTTCTAAATGTCTCTTTAGTTATAAAATCATCCTACAAAGGAGATGCTATCATGAGGAGTATGTGTCCTTGAAAGGTCATTTTCCAGAAGTCACGGATGGGGGAACCCCCATGGTGCTTCCCCCGTTCCCATCTCAGGTATGTAAGTCCTCAAATAAGTACTGAGGTTCTTAGTAGTGTCCTTAGCAACAGCCATCTGAAGAGAGCTGCGTCCTATCAGAACAGCAGCCTCCAGCGGCCCAGGACATCAAGGAGGGCGGCGGGGCGGAGGGCTCCCGGGCTTTCTTTCATCACCTCTGTTGCTTTTCTTTTTGCAGCTACTTGCTTCACTGCCCTCACACTCACGCTCAGCCAGGTTCGAAGGCCAGCTGACCTGCACCCTAAGCCTCAGCCTCCCTACCGGACAACCTTGGGCTGCCCAACCGTTTGGAGCCTACTTTCTTATTTGTAAAATGATGCGCGTAACCGAGCTCTGCTGTGGAAAATGGTACTTAAGACAAATAAATGATGTAATTCTGGGAATGAGATCTTAAATACCCAGCATGGTACTCAGAACATGGTATGTCTTCATTTCACATTTAAAACAAAAGTTGGTTGTTTTAATTACACTTTAATTCTATATCCCACTTTAATAGCATTTGACGCTTTTTGAAGTAGCTCCAATCATTTCCTGTATGTTTACAATAGTCTGGCACACTGGCAGGAAAGTTCTACTTTGTCATCTAACAGAGCATCACCCTGAATAGTTCTTGTGTGCCTGCTACAAGCAGGGCCTGGCTTCTGAGCTTGAGACACACAGCACGCTGCGTGGGCGTCCCTCTCCGTGACTGACAGGTGAGTCCCCGGGAAAGTGGGGAGGGATGCAGGCTCCTTGGTCTGTGTTGTTTCCTTACTTACTGGAGATACAGGCTGCTGCTTAGCTCTTTATTTAAGGGGGATCGTGACCTGGAGAAGTGTGCGGGGTAAGGGGCCAGAGGGAAGAGAGAAGACAAAGAGAGGGAGGGAAGAAGGGAGGAAGGGAGGGAAGAGCAAGTAAGGAATGAAGGGAGGGAGAAGAGGAGGGAGGGAGGAGGGGGAGGGAGGGAGGAAGGAATCTGGGAAAAGCACTCCGTACAGGGCCAAAATTTCTAAACTTTTCCCTAAGCCTCTCCACCTAGGAAGCTGAGACTCATGAACAGGAACGTTTCAGTAGCCACTCAAATTCACTTACATCGTTCAAATGCATAGAGTAAGAAGAACTTCACTTGTTCAGCAAGGGTTTACTATGTGCCTTTTACATGTCCAGGAAGCATGGGGAATGTAGCAGTAATGCAGCAGACAGAAATGCTCCCTTCCAACTTTCTCAGGTAGAAAATAACAGTGGCCCCAGGATGAGACAGAACCTAAGACAAGAGAGCGGTTGAGGGCCTGGATATGGGGTCTGTGGCTTGTGTTTAAATCCTGGCTTCTCCACGGCAAGTTACTTCACTATGAATTAGCAAGTACATTGTAAGGCTGCTTGGGAATCAGAATTTTAAACATACTACACTAGCTAGGCATGGTGGCGCATGCCGATAGTCCCAGCTACTGAGAGGCTGAGGCAGGAGGACTGCTTGAGCTGCAAGTTTGAGTCCAACTTGGGCAACATACTGAGAACTACTTCTAAAATATTATTAACTAATTAATTAAAAAATAAACTACACTGTTTAGCACAGTACCTGATACACAGTAAGCACTCATTCAAGGTTAACCCTGATTTACTGTTCGGCGACATACTCATTTATCAAATCACTTCAGCCAAAATTGTAGGGGCATAACTAATATCTATTTCGATTACCATGTTTGTTCAATTTTATCTCCTGAATATTCAAGTGGCTTTTTTAAATCCTTCCTTGCTAAGATTTTAATTTTAAAGACATGTTTTGTATTAATTACAGAACTTGCTAAATAGGTTCCGTCTCTAGCTTGTTTCCATACATGCCCTTTGTTATGGTTTGGACATCACCTCAATGTGCCCGCAAGGGTTCATATGCTGAGTGTGTGTGTGTGGGGGTGGTGGTGCTGGGGATAAAACCCAGGGCTTTACACATGCTAAGCACATACCCCACTAATACCCCACCCCATATGTTGACATATAAACCTCACTGCAGTACTGAGGTGGGAACTCATCCCAGTGAGGTGGTAGGGTTGGGTTAGGGTTTGTACAGTCAGGGTGGAGCCCCCGTGAGGGAAAACTGGTGGCTTCACAAGAGGAGGAAGAGAGCAGACAATCTGTGCTCTCCCTAATTCCTGTCACCTGAGCCCCAGAGCCCCCGGGACTCAGAGAACAAAGACTATCACCAGATGTGGGTATCTGGATCCCAGACTATGCACTAGTGGGGGAATGCATCTCTTTTCCTTTTCCTTTTTCTTTTTTTGAGACAGGGTCTTGCTATGTAGCCCAGGATGGCCTTGAACTTACAGCAATCCTCCTGCCTCAGCCTCCCAAGTGCTGGGATGACAGGAATACACTACTACACCTGGCTCATCTCTTTTCTTTATAAAGTTTCCCATCTTGGGTATTTTGTTATAGTAATGGGAAATGGGCCACTACGGGTTCCCTCGTCAACAAAAACTTCTAGATTGAAATCCTCCTGGAATGGTCTTCCCACAACTTGTGCTTGCTTGCAAATGATACTGCATGGTATAAGACACCTATGTGATCTGACCCCTCTGGTCACCACTCCCCTTCCCTGAGCTCCACGCCGGAGGCTTTCTGAGAAGCTGTGAAACAGCAGGCAACTTCACGGTGGTGCAAGCTCGCAGGTGCCTCCGTGAGTGTGGGTCCTAGCCCCTTGCTGCTGGTTCAGTCTGTGGCTTTAGAAGGCTGGGTTCCTGCCTCCTGCCTCAACGGCAAAAGGAAATGAGCCTCAGTCCCCTCTGTCGCACCTCACGCCCATTAACCCGGGGCCTGCTGTGTGGGAGGTGAGCTGACACCTGCTGACGAATGACTGTGATGCTGTCCGTGTCATCTGACGCTGCTTGGTCACAGCAGTGACACCTAACTGCACTTGAGCTCTTACTACTCCCAGGCACGCGGCCGAGCACCTCACAGACATCGTCTTACTTAACTGTACAGAATCCTACGACAAAGCTGGGGACTCTGGTGGTCACCATCATGTTAAAGCGGGAAAAGCTTAGGCTTCACGGGGTTTAGTGGCTCCTAACATCACTGAGTTAATTAGTGGTAAAGCAGGGAGCTAAAATGAAGCTTTCTGGACTCAATCTCTGTGCTCTGCTCCCTCACATACTCTGGACATCCTAGCACAAGATACAACTTCCTCATCCGCTGAAAGAGCTCAGAAAAGCCTCCCAGTAAACTGTACTGACTAAAAGCCCTAGACTCAGGTTATGGTTTAGATCTAAACTGCTCCCCTAAATCCTCAAGAGTGTGGAAGTGGGGGGATGATCATGGGGGGAGCAATACTCAGCAGGAGATTCACCCACTGATGAGTACAGGGGCTAAATGTGCTGCTAAGAGGAGGGGCCCGGTGTGGAGAGGCGGGTCCCTGGGGGCGGGACCCAGAAGGGTGCACCTTCCTCCCGGTTCTCTGCTTCCTGCCCACCATGACCTGAGCAGCTTCCTCCCCCGGACCCTTGCACCAGGCCAGTCCTGCCTCGGAGCCAGCGGACCATGGACTGAAGCCATGGGCCAAAATCAGCCTCTCCTCCTTTTAGCTCTGGGCCTGGGGTGCTGTGTCTCAGTGAGGAGGAAACAGACAAAGACAGCTTCTGTATCATTTCTGCAGCATGACCATTTTTGTTCCAGTCCAGACTAATTATTCCAAGTGGAATTTTTAAAAAAACATCTCATAGAACTCATGTCAGTTAAGGTATTTCTCATTACATCTCATTCAAAGATAATTTGAGAAAATTGTTTTAGAGGCATAATGTTGGAGACTTAGGGGAAAAGTACTTGATTCATCCTAAATACCCATTTTTGGGAAAGTCATATTTAGCATGAAACACCTGTTCTGATAGGAACTGTTTGGATTAATAACACTGCCCCTCCTATAGCTTGATCACAAGTAGAAAAAGCAGGCCAGGGTCACAGTACATCAGCATTTTAATTTTTTAAAAGACCTTGATTAATAAAGAAGTAGATAACAATTTTAAAAAGCAGCAACAGCTTCCACAACAAGGATGTGTTTTAAGATACTGTATCATTCGTTGTTGGCACTAGGCACCAGGCAATTTTAGTAGACTCTGAAAACAAGTAGACAAATTATGTAATAAAAGCAACAATTTTTATTACTTTGTTTTATATTTAATGATTTAGATTGTTACTTCTGAAGCAGAAATATTTGCAAATTCTTAATACCATTTAAAATTTCATTTATAATCTACTACATCATGAATGAGTTGCTCTAAAATAATTACTTTTGTTTTTGTTGCTGCTGTGGAACAAAGACAATTACTGTGAGGCAAAGAAGTTGCTGTTTTACACTTGTTGTACTTTAAATATCGTAGGAAAAGGCCTCTGTGGGAGCAGCTGAGCTTGGGAATGATCCTGACTCAGTCGTCTCCTCCGCAGATCTTCAGGAGTGCGTTTTCATAGTCTCCAGAAGTATCTGACTGCAAAGAACGGGACGAATAGAGAAGAATAAATGAGACAAAAATACTGAGCGGGCATAGATGCATCAAACCCCGCAGCCCTAGGGATTCACAGGGGGCTGAGCCCCTAACACCGTACCATTTAGCAAAATGCACCTGCGATTCCAACAGGCATTCACGCCTCAGGGTACCAGGGTACCATGCTCTAGCCTAGCATCTTCTCCCTGAGGTGTAAGGTTTAAATTCTCCCTCAGGCATTGCAACTAAATTTCAATTTAGGTTTTAAAAATTAGGTTGTAACAATTACATAGTACTAGTTTCTAACAAGTTTTAAAAGTGTACTTTTAATGATAATTAATATTTATCGAACACTTCTAGTTGCTCAATAGAGCTATAGTTCAATGCCAGAGAATGTACTTAATATGTAGGAGGCCCTGGGTTGAATTTCAGTACAAAAAAGAAAGGAGTTTACTGTGTGTTACCTGCTTTAACCCTCCTCAAAGCCCTGCAATGGGACAGGAATACTGAATATCTCCATTTAACAGGTTCTAGACCCAGAAAGCCTGCCCCTTAGCTCCAGGCTATGAAGTGGCCACATCTCCACAGGCTGTGTATATTGGTTCCTTCTTCCTGGGCCAGCCAAAAAGAGGTCTTGGTTCAGAAAAAATACCATGTGAGCTTTAACGATAAAGGGACAGAGATACTGCATTTGCCATGCAAAATATTTCATCAGAGTGAAACTTCACTTTAACCTATTACCTAAAATTCTTATATCATATTTATTTTATTTAAGATGCACTTCCTATCCCTTAAATTTCATTTTGGGGAAGCTGCTACTGGGGTAAATGCTAGGGGGTCATTTAGGGAAAAGATTACTTTCACAGTAAGACACAACAGGTATTAATCAGATATGTATTCTGATTAATATGTTTCTAATAGATATAGTGCTTCCTTTATTGATCTTCATGAATCTTGTTCTGCCTTTCAAATTGCTGGCAGTCAACAATGCCCTTGTTCTGCAGTGAACGAGCTCCTCCCTGGCATTGTGGCGTATGCCAAAAAATCCACACCCTAAAATCCTGGGTTTTATCCAGGATGACTCTTCTTTGCTCCCCTCACCAGGACCCCACCAAGTGCCTGGAGCTTTAACTCCTAAGTCTCTCCTGAGCCCTTGCTCCCTCCTCTTTCTGCACGATCCCCAACTCAGAGGACTTTACTCCACTGTGACGATGTGAGAGCTTCCTAACCCATTCCATCTCCTCTGGCTAATGTCTAATCCATTCACCGGAGTCACAGCAATCTTCTCAGTGCTCAAACACTTCAGTGGCATCCTGGTGTGGCAATGCATTCCTATAATTCCAGCTACTCAGGAGGCTGAGGAGGACCTGGGTTCAAGGCCAGCCAGGGCAATGTAGCAAGGTCCTGTCTCAAAATAAAATTCAAAAAGAGCTGGAGATGTAGCTCAGCACTGGAGCACTCACTCAGCACATGAGGCCCCGGACTCACTCCCCAGCACTGCAAAAACACCTACCTCCCCATGAAACAAAAACCACCTCCTCCTTGGCTTTCTATACTCTAAAGCTAAAGACAAAAATCCTTAAATACTGCCGAAAAGTCCCACAAGATCTGCTCCTTCCATCCTCGTTTTTCATTGTGTTCCCTCTCACACCCTCTTTTCCTATCTGCAGTTCCTTTTGCTAGAACGTTCTACTGGTTCCGTACCTCCTAACTGCTGGCTTGTTGATGTCTCCTCATTTTCTAAACCAGAATCATGATTTCCTCATAGACGCCTTTCCTGTCCACCACACTGCCAGATGCTCCTTTATTACAGTGTCCCTGTCCTTCACACTTAGCAAAGCTGTGACTCGGAGCTCTTTTAACTAAACTCAGCCTGCTACTTGGGTTTTATTTCTCAGTATTGCCCTGAGTGGACGCTCCCATCAAGCAAGTGCACGACCGCCTGCTTTCCTCCTGCCTCTCCCAGAACGTGTTCTCAGAGCGTGATCTTTGGCATCTCTGGCATCCTGCTGACCAGCATGGCGCCTGGCCCACAGGAAGCATTCAGTTCATGTTGCTGATCTGACTGGAAAGGTAGGCTAAAGACCCACCACTCTGAGAAATATTTCTTATCTAACCCTCAACTTGTTTCCTCTTAATTCCTATACTTCTGTCGTTCTACCCCACAATGTAATATTCAACTTTATGTTGCTTCAATTATCACCTGTTCTGTTTTGCGGGGCTCAAACTTAGGGTCTCACGCATGTTTGGCAAATGCTGTTCCATTAAGCTCTATCTCCAGCCCACATCTAATTGGTTATCCATGCCCACCTCAAGCCTCCACATAGATTATGAGTTCGCTGGGTTAGCTATTACATCTTCCTTTAAAGAACCTTTCCTATTAAATAGATACATAATTTACTGACAAAGAGAATTTTCAAAATGTAACTTCACCTACATTTTCATTAATATTTTCTTACACATTTTTTAAACTTCTCTTCTTCCTCTTCTTCTCCCTACCAAGCATCACCTGAGAGGTGTCAATCAGTAGAGAAATATCTAAACCGTAAGTAGAAGGGAAAGAAAGAACTGAGGTCCTGTTATCATCTGAATTTCAGAAACTCAGCCATCTAAAAAGATCTTGGTCATCCGTTGGGAAAATATAACGACATTACCAAATAACGACATTACCTTAGGTGGTAAAAATAAAGACATTTATGTTATTTCAAATCACAGTCTGACCACTTCAGTGACGAATTTTTCTTTTTATCCAACTACAAACAGTTTAAATGTTTTCTAGTACAATAAGTCTCAATTACCCGGGCCATGGGGAACTGAGAGTCACTATTAATTTCATTTTCTGGCTTACTGAGGGTGAGCTCAAAGCCCTCCCTGTGTGTCAACTTAGTTACTGACAATTGTTATAAAATGTGTGACTCTACTTTTCTGCCTGAGTAAGTACAATTTGGTTAACATTATTGAATTTTCCTTTGATGGCTGAAATTACTGTAATATGTCAGGATCAATTCAAATAGAATCGAGTGTGAACAGTTGAAATCTGCGCTAAGCCCCAGGCAGAGCCAGTTGCTTTTCTGAACACATTCTTGACTTCATGCTACCTGTACATCTCTTTCTGCAAAAGTTGAGTGCAAAAACAAAGACTGTTGTCTAAAAACAGAGGATTTTGGTGAATAAATCTAATTGACTGATTAATGATAATTATTTCATTCAACCAGTCATTTAAAAGCTATCTGTAGAGTCTGAGTCAGAAATGGTCCCAAGATGGCAGCCATAGGCCCAGGCCAATGTTTGCGCCTGGTCCAGGACGGCCATCATAGGGAAGCCTGCAGGGTGGGTAGGACTGAAGACTGCAGCTGCTCAAAGTGATACAGGAACGTGGTCAAAGCCAGGCAGCCTGGGGACCAAGGCTGGGGATTTTCGCCTTCAGGGAGCGCCAACCTTATTTGCATTTGAGGTGAGGTAGATGCTGGGAAGCCACCCAGGATCCAGATGTGCATGGTACACAAATGACTGCTCAGCCAGGCCAGGGTGTCAGGACACCAAGACTCTATTTCCATCTTTGGCACCTGAACATTCAGAGTGAAAGCTCCCCGATGGGCTGCTGGCCACTGCACCCCTCTAGTCCTGGCTCCTCCTCCAGGGCCCACCTCCCAGCATGGACCTGAGGAAGCTCCAGGTTCCAAGGCTCCTTTCTCAAAACACTCCATAGGGGAGCTGGGGATTTAGCTGGGGCTGGGGATTTAGCTCAGTGGCACAGCGCCTGCCTGGCAAGCAGGAGGTTGTGAATTCGATTCCCAGTACTGGGAAAAACAAAAACAAACAAACAAAAAATCAAAACACTCCATAGGCTGGAGGGGAAGCAGAGGTAAGGAAGCTTCATAGCCTCAGGAGCTCTGTGAAACCACCCTAGACCCATCTTTTCCCTTAGTCGGTGTGGCCCTGGCAGCTGGAGTGGTCAGACCACCTCGATCTCAGCTCCTGTTTGTTGTAAGGACCCACAGCACCCTCTGGACACTTTCACATGCTATCTGGGGGTGGAGGTAGCAAAATCAGTCAAGGGAAGGCTGCTAGGCAGGTCTGGGGCTGCCCCTAACCCCTCACTTATTTGCCAATTGCTATATTCCTCTTGATACTATGACTTTTGAACCATGAGCTTAAGGAATGGAAACCTCTTCCGAATTCCAATAATTGGTAACTTTTGAGGAGTTTCTATGTACATAATTACATTAGTTGAGATCTGAGAACCACAACTGGTTTCATTCTTTAAAACAGAAGGGAAGGAATAAAATATATTTTAGGAAAATTCTCATTCAAAATGATAGAAACAAATGCATCAATTTTTTAAACAAGAAACTATAAAAGATTGACAACTTTAGTTGAATAAGTTTTAAAATTTCTGCCTGGGAAAAATACTTGCAGCCAAGGCAGAGGACAAATAGACTTGGAAAGATATTTACAAGGAGACAAAAAGCTACCTTATGCAACACCAGGTCTTAGATAATGCCCAAGAAAATAAATAACATGCAAAGAGCACACAAAATCCCAGAAAAAGAAATACAAGTAGCACTGAAAACAGAAAAATGTGTTTAGCTTCACTTATACCAAGAAAAATGTACATTAAAATTACCCTGAGATATACTTCCTTGACTATGATTATAAAAACACAAAAGGGTTGTTTGTGGATTGAAAAACAAACCTCTCTTCCAAGGCTGTGGAGATACAAGGGCTCATACTTTTCTTATGCAAGTGGAAAAATGAAAGGCAAATTATAATATTTACCCAAATTAAAAATGTATCATATGTGACTCAGCAATTGTACAGCTGAGACTTTCTCCCACAGACGCACCCAGACACACCTATGAAATTGTGTAGGCACATTATGGCACTGTTTATAGTAGCAAGAAACTGGAACCACCTGTTGAGGTCTTTGACACAAATATAAAAGCAACGCAGTGACAGCTGTTAAAAATGAGAAAGCTTCCTACACACTGAAATGAAAAGAGCAAAAGCTGCAGAGCCATGATACCATTTTTATATAAAGAGGAAATTTACTATTGATTTTATTATTATTATTTGCAGTGCTGTGGATCAAACTCAGAGCCTCTGGCCTGCTGGCCAAGTGCTCTATCCCTGAGCTGCTTCCTCAGCCCACAATGAGCAAATTTTAAAAATGTATCTTTATTTCCTTACATTATCATGAACATTGAAATGAATAAAAGCACTGTAATATAAACAATAGACAACTTGCACATACATTTCACAAAAGAAGAAAAATTCAAAGCTAGTAAATCTAGGACAGGTTGAATATCTGCTATATGCCTGGGATTTTAGAGCTGAAAAAGATTACTACCTTTAAGGGATATTTTGCTATCATTGTTTAAAACTCAGAAAACACATTTACACATTGACAAGGAGAGAGAAATCAAAATTATATACCTATACGTTTGAGGGAAGGTAAGAGAAAGAAGGTGAATGGAAAACGGTGACATCTGTTTTGCTATTTTTTAGAAGGAGACTTACTTTAACGGCTGAATACAGGGAATAGCCATAGTGCTTCTTGAACTCATAGCGAATGTCCAGAAGGTCAATTTCCGATCTGGAAACCATGATTCGGTTTAGAGTGAACTCATCCGTTCCAGCACCCTGTTACGAAATGCACGTGTTCATACTGCAAACCCCACTGCTCACGAAATGACACAGAGATACACCTAGACTTAGAAGATATACATAATGGTGCATAAAATAGTCAAATGCAATGAATCTTCATTCTGTTACCCTCAAACTTCGTTAGTCATCTATTCAAGAAATACTTGCTGAGCCCCATCTCTGTGCTAGCACCACGTTAAGTGTTGAAGACCTGAGACGAGATACTCCTGATAAACTTCCAATCCTGTAAGCAAAAACTATGCAGGCAAGAAAACAGGCCACTGCAAAATACTGCAGTCTCACACACAAGAAATACTGGGTACCTGGGAAGCATCTGTTAGAGGGCGTAAGAAAGATTAAGGACTAGGAAATCCATGTCCAAGAAAGACACATTTACAATAAGGCGAATCTTAGGGGGTCCCCTGCAGGTAAATACGAACCCTTAGGGGAAGAGGAGTGGGTTCATAGAAAGGAGAGAATGCTTCAACAGAAGATACTGCAATTGTGAAGGTCTTGGACAAGGAAGAACGTTTCAATTCAAGAAAACAAATAATGAGGTGAAAGGATCACAAGAGACGTGTCTGCAAAGGTGAGCCCCTTTAACCATGGGATGAAATTCTAACTTTCTCCCAGATGTGAAGAACTAATGGACTATTTTCAACACGCGCGCCTGGGGATGAGCTCACGCCTGTGGTTTCAGAAGCTCACTGTGACGGTGATGAGAGGAGACTGCTGGGAAGGAGGATGAAGATCAGGGGATGGGATGAGAGTCTCTGGGATTCATCTGGAGTGACTGCAGTCATAATGGAAAGCGGCGATGACAAGCTGAACTAGAATAAAGGCAGAGAGGACGGGGAAAACGGGGAGACTTGAGAGATGCATACACAGGCGACTGACAACCTATGGTGCATCCTCTGGGGACGATGAAGAACAGGGAGAGCATATGATTCCTGGCCGAGCAGTTAGGTGGATGTTAACGCCATTTATTTATGCACCCAACAATACTCGCTGGTACTTGTTGGGCATCTACTCTACGCCAGGTGTGAATGAACACAGATTCTACTCTGTCCTCATGGAGCTTATCAGATAGAAGAGTGGGGAAATCAGCAGATTATTTAAGTAAATATTAAGAGCTAATGAAGAAGATAAAGCTGGTGAATGGAATGGAGAATGATGAAAGGGAGCCAAGTGACATGACACGGAGCAAAATCAGGGGACACTCTTTCCGGAGGGGACAGCTGAGCTGAGGCCTGAGAAGGTGAGCAGCCAGTCCCAGACAGATCTGAGGGGAACATTCCAGGCGCACGGGACAACCAGTTCGAGGGCGATGATGTGGGAAGAGACTTGGCGCAGCGCGGACAAGGGCAGAAGGCTGCAGTGCCCGAGGCACCGCGCTCGAGGCTGGGGAGGATGGGATGACTCAGCAAGCCGGCAAGGCAGCCGCGGTCAGGGCTGTGCGTGAGAGGACCGAACACAGGAGGGCGGGCTGGGCGGTAGGGTGAGGGGAGGGGAGGGGATGCTTCCTGGGACGTGTCTTTGCAGGGTCACACGGAGCCACAGGAAACATCGAGTGAAGAAACAGACATAGGCGTCACCTCTGTGCCAGGCCCTGACCTAGGGGGTGAAGATGCATGTGGGGTAGCTCGTGGGGCCCACCGTCCACACTGAAGACAGACAAGTGAGCAAGGGTACAAGAGCCTCAGAAGTGGAGGACTCGGCGCGGCAGGGCTGAGCAAGAGGCCACCAGCTCCCAGGGGCTAAGCTGGGTGCGGTATCCGATGCCCACGCTTGCAGCCAAGTAAGGGAAATTAGCGCAGCATCCCTGTTGCTATCCCTGTACTGACTGGAACCCTTCCTCTCAATCTCGGAGACAGATGAGCGCACTAGCTACAAAAGGGAACTCAGCAAACTGGAAAAGAAGTACGACATTCCATCAACACTGAGCAATACCTTTACATTCTCCCCGAGGAACGCTAGCAACGCATGTGAAATTTCCAGACCCACCTTCAAAGCGCGGTGCAGTCTCTCAGCTAGAAAGGCAGGCGTGTTCCTCACACAGTGAACTATTATGAAAAGCAACAATTAGCTTCATGTAATAGAAACTGAGTTAATCTATGTAATTTTTAAAAGGACTCTCTGGATTGTTACACCACTCTCCTTCCTCCCCACCACTGGCTTTTTTTTTTTTTTTTTTTTGGTACCAGGAATTGAACTCAGGACCTTGCACTTGCCAGGCAGGCACTTGTGCCATGGAGCTATACTCATTTAGCATGAAAGAAAGTCTGTTTAACCTGAATTTCAATGCCTTATAATGTCATATTTGCACACAACTGTAGCACAGTAATTATCTTCAGCCATGGGGAAAATAAAATTACCTGCCAAAGAAACCCCCACGGTGCGTGACTCATCTCTACATCCCAGACACACGGACACCTACGGGCACCGGTGACTCCCCAGGGGGCGCCACCCCCAGCTCAGTATCCTGGGCTGCTGACGCACAGCCTGGGCCTATCAGGTGCAGAGCTGTGGCTCCAAGTAAGTCGTTAGGTAAGAAGCACTGGGCTTCAACCAACAACAACTCTTCCCAGGGACACTTTCTTTTTAAATGACCGGCTTAGAATGTATAGGCCGGTTAACTACATTAAAATCAGTGCCTGTAACTTCACTCAGTCATCTAGAAAATACCATAATCTTTCAAACCCTTATTTTGAAATGACAAGTGAAACAGAAATAAAACCAGAAGAAAGAAAATGGACAAAACCTGAGTAAATAATTAATTTGTGGGGAGTAAAGTAGTTTGGAATAGAAAGTCTACTGGGAAGAAACCTATTTACCACAGCACGATCACTGTTATAACCTTGAATCTGATCTGCAGGCAGGAACGTGTGCAGAAGGGAACGGATTTTATAATGAGTTTTGGAGCTCAGAATGAGCGCAAGCCTTAAGCCCTGGCTTGCGCGGAGTGGCTTATTGGCTGTGGGAAGCTAGAAGACCGGTCCACGTAAGTGACTCAAGGGAAAAGAATCACGGAAATTGTCAGGCGCAAACATGCGGGCCAGGAAACAAACCATTCGATGTGGTGCTACCTCAATTTTCTCGAACTCATGTTAGTCAGCCTTAGTGATCAGGCCAAGAATCATGACCTCTCTTATCTCATTAAGCTTTATAATCATCCTCTGCCCACTAGGTCTGTACAATCCTTTGTTCTTCTAATACTCTCTCCCTTGCCCTCTGCCTTATGTTCTTCAGTACCAAGTTTACTCTTCCTGCCTGCAATGCGGGGAAGCAGTAGTGTATTTTAGTGGTAGGATAATTGTCTTAGCACCCAACAGCAGAGGTAGGAGAACACACGTGTCCAGGAGAGGTCATTACCATGGTCAAGACTACAACAGCCTATCTGCTACCCTCACGATTTTCCTGACCGAACTTTAGTCTAGCCTCTCTCATCCCATCAGTCCCTGAATTCAGGCTTCCCCAATTCCGGGCAGGCAGTAACATGAAGATCGTGCCTCCTTATCAGCTTATTGCAAGAGGTCAGCTGACCCCTCAAAACACGTGTCCTTTCAAACCCAGTGAACACGCCCCTCTGCCGGCCCAGCTGTCCATGAAAAGCTTTTTGTGGAGGTCTGCCTATATCTTTCTACAAAAGCAAAGACTTTTCTGTTGGTTTTTTTTTTTTTTTGAGACTCTTGCACATTTTCTGAAATCAAACTGTTCTACCTTTTGGAATGAAGTGGCTCTTTCAATCTGGATTTGGTTTTACATGATAACTAGTAGGTTCCTATTGTGGGATTCTAAGATCGTGCAGCTAAGATAGTTTTTCCTGTAAAACACTGTGCTGACATAGTGTATGAGACTGGTGGGGCCTGCGAGGTGGGAAGGAATGGGATGTGACTACCAATGGGTGCAGGATTTCTTCTGGCACCGTTGAAAAAATGACCTAAACTCAGACTGTGGTGACAACTGTGAAACTCCAAAATACTTAAAAAGCATTGGATTTTACAGTTTGAATGTTTTTGGCATACGAGTTTATTTCAATGAAGATTTCTTCATAAAATGGTTTTACTCCAATGGTAGACTGAAATAGAGAATCCAAGTGTGACATATTTTCAATTTTATTTATTTATTTTGTTTTTTTTTCTGGTACCAGGAATTGAACTCATGACCTTGTGCTTGCCAGGCAGGTGCTGTGCCCCTGAGCTAAATCCCCAGCCCCCATATTTTCAATTTTAAATTGGTTGAATTGTAAGACTTTTTTACTAAATAAATTGCACTGTAGCCCAGATTCAATCACAATTCAATGTATAGTTGTAAGAATGCTTTTCAGCTCAGTGGAGCTGAAATGTTCCTTAAGGTCCCCTGTGCCAAATGCTTAGTCCCAGAGCTGGGGATGCAGCTCAGTGGCAGTGATTCCCTAGCATACACCCGGTCCTGGGTTCAATCCCCAACAAGGCACAAGGGCTTAATCCACCCCCCACCCCCGCCCCCACGGCACTGCTGGGAATGGGGGAACCTTGAAGGCGTGGAGCCTCGTTGGAGTAAGTTAGGTCACCTGGGGCAGGCTCTGAAGGGGACACTGGGACACTGGGACACTGGCTCTTTGCTTCCCAGCAGCTATGAGGTGACCAGGTCTCCCTGTCATGTGCCGCTTTGTGACCTACAAGCTGCCTCAAGCCTACAGCAACAGGGCCAAGAGACCACGGCGTGAAACCTGTGAAACTATGAGTCAGAACACAAACTTTTCCCTTTTCTGAGCTGATCTCTCAGGTTTCTTCGTCACAGTGATCAAAAACTGTCTAACACACGAGCTGATCCTTGGAAAGCAGTAAGAGTTTGAACATAAAGTTTTTCAAACATTACAGCTTAACAGGACCAAGGAGAGCAGTAATACTAAACATTAAAAATAGGAAATGGGAAAAATAATAACTGGTTATTACATCATCACCACTGGAAGCATTCTCAGAACTCATACTGAGAAACTGATCTCACTTCCATGTACTTTAAATTGAAAAAGACTTTTTCTTTTTCGCTCTGTCTTTTAGTAATTCTGTCAGAGTCAAGGAGGCTTTTGTCTGTTTTCTTTTCGCTCGCCTGAGCTCGCACTTGGGTGAGGAGCCCTGGTCTTGGCACTGACTCGGTCAGCAGTGAAATGACATGTGTGGAGGAGTCTAAATGAGCCGACGCTTGCAGAGTGGTGAGCACAGAGCCCAGCACAGGGTGAGTTATTGAAAAATAAAATGATGCATCCTACGGGAGTTCAGCCTTCAGAGGTGGGAGTTAATGTCTGCAAGATGAACCCAGCCCAGCCCCTGGACAGTTACCCTCAGACACTGGCTATCTTTACCTTACCAGAGGTGCAACGAGTCACAATAATCAATATTAGAAATGACTTCTCCTTGGGGAAATGACAAATATGCTGGCACCACTGGGGAAGGAGCCTGCCATAAGCCCAAGGGCTTGCAAGTGGGCACAGCTAAAGGTTCTGAACAAGTCTGGGCACGCACCAGTTCTAACAGAGCCTACTGCCTGACGCTTGGAGGAGTGAAGATTCCAGTGTTTCCACAGGGTCTCATCCTTTTGAGTGGACCCTGCTTACCAGTATTCTCCTGGTGCCTAACAGGCCAGACTGAGACCCCATTACCTGTCTAACTTGTGCATGTGTGTGTCTAAATGGGAACAGGTTTCGCCTGAAACTCACTTTCTCTTTGGCGTCCCTCTGCTCACTCGGCCAAGCAAGAGAGACCTTACGCTGACCTTGGGACCACTTTGGGAGGCCAATGACATTTTCCAGAAATGACCAAATACAGTGAAATAACAAACTGGCTTTGTCTCAGTTTTCAAAAAGGTTCAATAAAAACACCAGTGGGAATATAATATTCAGCTCTCAAGGAATCTACAATTCACACATGGTGACAAGCCAAATGCAAATTTAAAAGGCAAAGTAAGAGGTAAAAGGATAACTCCTTCATGCACCATCGAACAGTGTTTGTGGACCCCATTGTCTGCACCGTGGACCGCGCTAGGGGCTGTCAGGAGTATACAGATGGACCCAGTCAGGGTTTTCGCATGAAAGAAACTCGCTTCGACATTGAGCTAAAGAAAGTACAAAGTAACCCCATTAATCAGCACTCCAGGGCTTACCTATGGCCAGCAGTAAGTCTTCAAAATGCCCAGATAATTCTCCTTTAATGCTGTCCTCAATGTCCTTCTGGCTAATATTTCTGTATTCATCAAATGCTAAAAAGTATCACCACAGAAACATTTAAAGCATTCCAGTTGACCATGCTTGAATATATTTTAGGGTTTTCAAAAATCTGATATGCACCAGATCAAGATGCAATCTTTAAAAAACTCCTTGTTTAAAATCATCAAAATTTGAGCATAATAAAACCTAGCTTCATAGGCCATTTTCTTCAATGACCTCCCCCCTCTTTTTCCAGACTGCAGCATTTAAAACAAGCTGAAAGGTTAAATGACAAATAACTTACCTAGTAAGATGGACTACTTTAAAAATGATAGCAGCCCCTGGGAAGTAATACTACGGTCATTAGTCAGATATGTTTTATCTACCAAAGAAATCTTAATGGAGACGTTTTCTTTGTGCTGAGTGAATCATTCCCTAAGGCAGGATGGCCCACTTCATCCCTAGCAGAGGCATGTGAATTTCTTCATCAGTATTTGCCCCAACAGAACCTGTACCTATGTCACCAAGTATATAGTCATATTTTGTAAGCCAAGTAAATTTTTAAAAAAGAATTTGGGGGAGGGATCTGTGGTCTGATTTTTGTTTTTCAGACAAAGATATTGTATTAGTAAAAAGAAACTATACTACTATTATTTTATAAAATCAATGAAGGCCAAAGCTAAGGAAGGCCACTTCAGAATTAACCACAGTGACACCGTCTCCTCTTTCACAGGGTAGCGAAAGGCCAGTCATGCACAACGCTCCTGTCTAGAGTGGTGCCCAGAAGCCACAGTCAGATGGTGTCCACAGCAAAGGGAGGCAGCAGACCTGAGGGGGTGGGTGTCTGGCAGTCCCACATACCCGCAGGCCTGATCCAAAGAACCGGTCTTCCCCATTCCCTCATCTGCCTTTATATCAGAAGGAGCTGAACGCAGGTCAGCATTAATACATCAGTAAGAAGTTACAGGCAAAGCCCGGCTTTTCTGGAAAGTGGTTCACTGGGGACAGGGGGGTGGAAGCAGAACAGCCAGGCTCCCCCCCGGGGAGTGGGGAGAAGAGGCCTGTCCGCTCTCTCCCTCCAGGGCTACCTCTTCTCTTCTGCCCCCAGCCCTTAGCTGTTACTCCCTAGGGTCCCACTAAGCCGGAGGACCACAGAGGAGGGCTGGGACCACTTGGAGTTAGATCTGGCTTCCTCCTTTTGTTTCCTCCAATGTTTACACAAAAGATGCCCAGATTTCACCCTTTCTAACTTGACTCTGTGGATCAGACCCACCAAAATTGGCAAAAGCAACATAAAGCAAAAAGGGCGGATTGTGAGCCCGTACTTAGCCTCAGCTGCGGAAAGCTCCGTAAGCACAGGATCTCGGTGAATTTATCTTCGTCTGTGCCCCATTTGTTCTCGCCAGCATTGTAGAGAATCTACTGACAGAGGAGGGAAACTGACGTGTTATTACAGACACCAGTCTTTCTCTTTCTTTCTTGAGAGGGTGGAATGAGAAGAGTGGGAAGCTTTAATTTATTTTCAAGGTCAGTGAGATCCTCTGTTATCCAGGATTCAGTCGTGGGAGCCTGGAAGTGACCGCCACTGCTGACCAAGGTGGAGGCTGAGGGGCGACCAGGCTCCAGGCTCCACTTCTAACAGGAGCAGAGCAGACAGCCCAGGCCCCACGGTCCTCTCCCTGATCACAGAAATGCAAAGGCCTCAAGAGGGAGAAGAGTAAAGCAGACATTTTACTTGCTCTGTTACTGACCTGAGCATCTTTTTTGGCCAGATGTTCATCCACTTTCAGACTTTCATCTCTTCTACCCTAGAAGGGATGACAAAAACAAGGCCAGCCCTTTAACTCTTTTTTTTTGTTTGTTTGTTTGTTTTTCTAGTACTGGGAATTGAACTCACGACCTTGTGCTTGCCAGGCAGGCGATGTGCTGCTGAGCTAAATCCCTAGCCCCAAGGCCAGTCCTTTAAAGACAGAAGAATCTAATGCTCAGTATTTAAATCAGCAAGACATTTTTTTCTGCAGTGGAGGCCACAAAGCAGAGGGCAATCAATGCTCTGTGTCCAATCCTGCGCCATCACTGGCTTGTCATGAAGCGGGTAGCAAATCACACATCTGAGGCCTTCATCTTCTCTGAAAACTCAAAAGTATTAAGCGGATGAAAAAAAAAGCTGTAAAAAAGAAAATACTTATAAAACATATCTGATAAAAGACTTATAGCCAAAATACATGAAGAATTCTTAAAATTAAGTAAGAATATAAACAACTCAACTAAAAAAATAAGCAAATGTTGTGCTGAGACTCCTCACCAAAGAAGGTGTACGGACAGACCTGAAAGCACGGGAGAAGATCCTTAGCATCACATGTGACGGGAAATGCGCATTAAGCCACAAGATACCAGCATGCATCTATTGTATTAGAATGGCTAAAACCCCAAACACTGGCAAACCCAAATACTGGTGAGGATATGAAAGAATGGAAACTCTGCTGCTCCCTGCTAGTGAAAATGTAAAATGGCCACAACCACTCTGGAAGACAGTGTGACAGTTCCTTGTATCACTAAGTATCTTACCATCAACCCAGCAATTGTACCTCCTAATATTTACCTGAGTTAGAAACATGGCCACACAAAGCCCTGCACATGAATGTTTAATAGAAGTTTTATTCACACTTGCACAAACTTAGTAGCAGCTGGGATGACCTTCAATTATGAAACAAATATTCCATACAATGGAATACTGTTCAGCGCTAAAAAGATACAACTTGCAGAGTGAGGAAGATATAGAGGAAAGTTAAAGGGAAATCACTAAGTGAAGGAAGATGGTATAAAAAGGGTACACAGCATAGGATTTCAAATATAGAATGTCTTAGAAAAGGCAAAACTCTGGAGACAGTAAGATCAGAGGTTGCCAGGGGCTGGGAAGGGATGTACGAAGTGGCAGAGCACGGTGAAACTATTCTTCCCGATACTGTGATGGTAGCTGTACAACATGATATATTTTTCAAAATCCAAAGAACTATTCAACAGAGTAACTGCTATGCCAACTAGACTTCAGTTAATAATAGTGTATCACTAGTCACACAGCAACTGTAACAAATGGACCACAGTACTGCGGTTATTAATACAGTAAGTCCCCAACTAACTGACTTGCGCTATGAAGTTTCAGAGGGTACTGTACACGAGTCACAGGTATGCTTTGTAAGACTCACTGTGTCAGATTACAAATGAATGTTCTCTTGGAAAGAAACTGTCTGTCAGTCAGGGACGTCCTGTAATAGGAGAAACATGGGAGGAAGGAGGGGCAGAGGAGAGCTGTCTGAAGAGAGGTACCTTGGTTCACAAATGCTTTTGCTGGCAAATAATTTGGTTTGCAAACAAAAACAGTTGGCAAAATTTTGTTTCTGTTTGTGGCCACTCTAAGTGGCCACGTTTTCCAAAATCGTGGAACAAATTAAGTTTGTGAACCAAGGTACCATTATATTTTTTGCTCAACTTTTCTGTAAATGTAAAACTGCTCTAAAAAATAAAAGTCCTCTTTATAAAAACCCTCAGAAGTTCCCACCAACCTCAGTGTGGAAGGCTGTGTAGTCGTGTGTGTATGTGTGGTTGTGAACAAATACTTGAGCACATTTTAGAAAGACAGAAGACTGAACGGTAAAAAAGGATTGGCTGAATTATGCTTCATATTATAGGTGAACAAAATATTGTTATAATATTTAAAAATAGATTTGCTCCTGTTTTCCAGTGTTAGTTCCCTGTGTGCTGTCTGACTTGTGCCGGTTCCCTTCCTATGCTGCTATGAGTGCTCTATCTTCTCGTTCTTTCATTTGTGCACTGTGCTGCATTAATAACGGTGCTGATTATCACCAGCCTTAATAATAATAAACCACCACTACCATGCATCGGTCACTTTCTATGTGCTAAGTACCTTTAGTATATTTACACCTTAAGGGATGGGTACTACCAGTATTTTAATTGCACAGATGTGAAAACTGTTGCTTTCAGGCTTAAAATAACTTGTCTAGATACACAAAGCTGGTAGGCAGCTTTCAACTCTTGTTTGAATCTAAAACCCTGTCCCGAGCCCTAATCCGTCCTGCCGCCTGTGGGGATATGAACTCACACCCACACTAATGGGCGCACACTTAAGACTGCAGAGCTCTTACAGCATATTTCTGTGGCATTGCTTCACACATTGGGGTTTGTGCATGCAACCTTCACAAGGTTTTCAGCATTTAAAATAACTGGCACCATAATTAGGATAAATTATTTCCTAGTGGCATAATGCCTCTTTGACAAGTGGTGTTTCAGTCTTCCAGATGAGACCATCACTGGAATTTTCTCATGAATTTGGAGGTGTATACATCAGCTGAGAAGCTGGTAAGATAAAGCTTAAGTCACTTCTTCTGTAGGACGTATCTGTGACACACTTCACCCTTGACTTTACTACCTTTATTAGCAAATTCATGAACCCTCTAAATAAACAAAGACTGCAGCGACCTCATTTGGCCACACCGTGATTGATGGTTTGGCAGCTTTTCCAAGGTGGTAAGGAGGAAATTGCAAGTCATTTTTCCCCCTAATCTTGAAACTAATATGTATTTCTGAATTTAATATCTTATTCTGAAAATAATTCTTCTGTATCATATTTCTCACTCAACTTAAAAGAAAAACTATTCTTTGGAGTCCAGAAGAAAATAAAAATGTTCTAAAAATAGAGACATTTACAGTGCAAATGGACAGTTAATTTATGTCAGATGATTTCTCAAAACATTTTTCTACCATATAGTTAAGATCTCATCAAAAATCCATAAACTGACCCTAGACAAGATTTTTTTGTTACTTCGCTATGTATGCGTGTATGCTTTTTTTTGGCTAAACATTTTACTGATAGTGCCAATGCAAATGAAAGATGAGTAAATCATTTATAAGGAAAACTGCAAACTCACTGTCTCAGGTTTTTTTTTTTTTTAAACAACTCCTTAGACGTTACTACAAAGCATGCAGCTCACTGCAGAATTAAAAATAAATGAATAAAACCTTACATCTGCCAAAGTCAACAGAGCCTTCCGGAAGTCACCAGATGTTTCAGAACTAATGGCATCTCCAAGACTCTTCTTATAAACTGAAACCAAATAAAAATGAAATTAAGCCTTGACAAACTGAAACATATCATTATAAAACAGAGAAAAGTGTCTATGTCAATATTGGCAAGTAATGAGCATCTGGTAAAATAAATCTGCTTTCATTTAACTTTCTGGCACTCTAGCACTGTAAGAAAGAAATATTTTCCATGTAACAATTACTGCAGTGCACACTGCGGCAGATGCAAAGGAACAGGAGGGGATGTAAAGGAGGCCTTTCTGGATCAAATCATGGTTCATCTCATCTGACAGTGGCACTAATTAGGGAACACACAGGAAGGGCAACCTGCTTGTTTCCCTTCCAATTTTCATCATCTCCTTCTTCCACAATAACAGAGCACTAACATTTAACAAAACCTAATGCACACAGCTTAAAGACTGCATTCTCAGCTTTCGTCTTAGCTAGGTGCAGTTCCACAACTAGGTTCTTTGCCATGAAATGCAGGCAGGCAGTGTGTCTCTGCAGGGAAATCTCTTTAAAGGGCTGGGCCATGCCAGCTTAGTCCTTTCTCAATCCTACCTCCTGTGCGCATGCAGATGTCCAGAGCTTCGGCTGCCGTCCTGGACTATGAAGATAAGGACTGCATTTTAGCAATGGCAAAAAAGTCAGCAGGAAAGGGCCCGAGCCTCTGAGGACTTTGAAGAGCTACCACACCAGTCTCAGAACTGTCCACCCCTAGACTGTTTCTACATATAATGCATTAGAAGAAAACCTCTATCTTATTTATATAAGACATTGTCATTTTCCTGTCTTATTAAACCATACCTTAATCCTTACATATAATCTATCCTTACATTAGATTATTTGATATTGCTCAGAAATAAGAAAGTCATCCCAACACACACAATTTTCTCTTCATGCCAACTGTGTGGTCACATATTTTAATACAGGCTAGTTGTACCCCTTTTGCATGGCAATTTTATTCTAGTTTGCAGTGCTGGCGATCGAACCCAGGGTCTTGTGCATACTAAGTGAATGCTCTACCTCTGGCTGCACCCACAGCCCTGCTTGTCCGTCTCAAAGCTCTGTTCTGCTCCATCCGTGGAATAGTGAACCTCTTGCAGCCACTACGTATCTGGACATAGGTGACACCAACTGGCAGTCTAAACTCTGCATCATTCTCAAGAAGTCCGTATAAGTCAGCCATAGCAATGGTCATGCTTTTAAATCAATGAAAGACAACTACAGAAAGTGATATGAGATTATTGAACAGGAAGAACCATGGTGAAGTAGAAATTTCCTCAATGCAATTTTCGCCTTTTTATGGACTCTATAATTCTTCACAACAATTCATGTAAGCAAAATCAATAAATATAAATAATTCATCTTGACAACATTTAGCAGACATCATTATATCTAATACTCATAATATTGTTGCACCTACCCTTCACTCTCCTTAGAAAAATGTTAGAAAAATATCTCAATTTAAAAACATCAAGTCAGAGAATGAAGCGCCCCCTTTTTCAGAATCTGGAGACGTATTCTGCTATTGTAGAATTATAGAGATGAGGCTCTACAGTCATCTCATGCAGTCACCAGAGGCCTCCCTTTATCCAGAGATTTTGCCAGAAATTAGATCATTAAAATGAAAATGACTTCAATTCAGTTTGATAACTACTTCATGCATTTTAAAGCATAACAGAGTACAGAAAAATTATTTTTCACAGTGCAAATTCCTGAATTAGAATGGGTTCTGATCCCTGACTCAGTCTTCTCTGACATACTGTTAACTGCAGAATAATGAAAAAATCTTCAAGATTCATCTATTATTCAGATTCTTTTCCCTCCTTGTACTGGATGAGCCATACATGATGCCTGGTCACTTTATGAGGGCCAAGTTGACGACCTCCTTCGATGGGTTTCTCAGGCGTGGACCACCACTTCACGTTACATGACACCACTCCTTGCTGAATGCAAGGAGGTTGGTTGGTACTTGAGCATAGGGGACCAAGAGCTAAGGGATGATCCAATGGGAGATCCAAAATATAATGCTGTCTGTTAGAAGGGGAGCCACTGAATCCTTTCTCTGAGGGAGGAAGCCGTACGGAGAAAGAGGAAAAGAAAACAGAGTTATGTGGCTTGCTAAGAAAGGAAGCAAACAGTGCGAGGACAAGAGTCCCTGAGACAGAAGACAGCACAGGGAGCAGCGGCCTGTGGGGAGGCAGCGGGGAGATCACCGATCCCCATGGCAGTCCTGGGTCCTGCGTCGCTGTAAAGCTCAGTTCTACATGACGGAGGATATACCCTTCTTGATTTCCGTGTGTATCATTCATTTATGGCAATCAAGGTAGCCTACAGGTAATTCTTTTCTTTGTAGCCTTACACAGTTTAACTCACACAGAAATTGAGACTTTGCTAACGCAGAGCTATTATTACTGGTCATATCTGTCAGAAACAATCCCAAATGCCAGAACTTTCACCTGGCTCTTAAGACCTCAACCTCAACCCTGAACACACTCGTTCAATAAACATTTCAACTGGGAGAGGAAAAAGAAAGAAGGAAGAAGGATAATTGTACTACTAATTTCTGTTGGTTTATTGAAAGGAACTGTTAATGTGTAATTGTTTGATCAATCTTGCATGCCTGTATCTGGTTATATGTGCAACCATTTTGAAGTGACATTATGTAATGTAACAACCATTGTTAATATCCTATCACCATGTTTTGAAATTCTGTATCATTTTTTATTGTTCTCTATGCTGTTTTGTTTATGTATTTGTTTTTGGTATTTTGGATTTTTTTTTAAATGAAAAGCAAAATTTATATGCATATATAAGGAAAGCTGGAATAGGTACATTGCTGATGTTTGTGGTTTATTGAAAGGAACAGTCAATGCTTAAAATTTTCTTTTTTTTTGACCAATTTTTCACGCTTGAATTTGGTAATCAGAATGACTGATGTGAAAACAACAATATGCAGTATAAGAACCATTGTTGAACTTCTACCATCTTGTATGGTGAAGCTCTGCATCAGTTCCAATTTTTTTTTAAATTACTTGTTACTGTCTTTGTTGGATCAATCTTACATTCTTATGTCTGGTGGAATGAGCAACTTCGCTGAAAATAACAGTATGCAATGCAGCAACCATTGTTAATTCCCATCATTTTGTTCTGACGTCATGTATCATTTTTGTTGTTTTTGTGTTGCTTTGATTTTGTCTTCATTATTGTTTTGTTAGTTTTTTTAATTTTTAAAATTAAAAAAAAATAAATATTTGAACTTATTCCCCAATGGTCATGAGCACTGAGGATGTAACGGTGAACAAAACAGATGCTGTCCGTCCTCACAGTGTGTACATCCTGGGGTTGCTGTACCTGAGAGCTGGGCTCTAGGAAGCTATCTCGGGCAGAGCCTCTCATGAAGCAGCAAGCTCCTAAGAGACACCAGGGACTAAAAGCCACCTGGTGACACAGTGTCTGGCATTGACAATTTATTTTTTATATTTTTCAAACTCTGTTGACCTGAGGTACAGTGATACATTGATTGTTGAAGCTCCAAGCTTGAACTTTCCAGTACTGGAACTACAAAGTTTGAAAAGAAATCCACTCGGTATTCATAACTTTGCTCGATAGTTAAACTGATAATCTGACAAGAAAATGCCCTTATAGGCTAAGAGTGAGTCACACCTCTCCTTCCCCTCAGGCACAAAGGGGCAATTCTTCAGACTGAGGAAAGGGGCAGCTCTTCGGTGTGAGTACAGTGCCACTCTCTTTCAGACAACATATAGCAATTATGCTAGTGCTAAAACATTCCTTATTGCCAGGTATGGCAGCACATGGCTGAGGCAGCAGGATTGTGCCTTTTTTTTGCATAAAATTGCAAAAAGTTTATTTGCATAAAATGGTAACCATGACTCCAAAGAAAGTTAGTGATATCAGCAGTAAAGCTAAGAGGAAAACTGTGAGAACCCTGAAAAAATTGATTTGTAAGTGTAATTTTGGGGCCTGAAAACCAATGACTTGGTTTTCCATTATTTTTTATGGGAAAAAACATGTTCAGTTCTCATACTCTTTGGGAAATACAAATTTGGAACGAATTGAGTTCAACAACTGAGGTTATCGCTGCATTTGAACCTAGGTGTCTGAAACACAGGACAGTGCACCCCCTTGTGCTTCTTATGAAGCAAATCTCTCATCTATTTCAAATGCATCCACTTTCTGCTGTGTTCCACCAAGGCGGGGAGGTGCAGTTCCCTTTCTGCTTTTTCAGTTCTCTCCAAAGTGTTTAAAGCAGTCTACTGAGCATCTCTGTCTGTTACTATATTTAGTGCTGTTTCTGTTTTTCTTACTACATCCTGATTAGTACATCAATAGTAAGACAGTTATTCATTAAGGTATTTACCTTCTGGTGAGAATTTTCTAAGTTACCTCTCTAGGACCCATCTGGGGTCCTAGATATCCCTTCTTTGGGCCTCTCCCACTGCAAAGCTTCTGAATCCATAGTTGACCTCACACAGACAAAAATTCAGAAAACAAGGGGGTGCAGGGGGATACTGTATGACACAAAACTGAGCTAGTCTTTGTCTCTGATTCTTGGGAGATGACCTCTCAATCTCTGGAATTTCCCAAGTAATTGCAGAGTCTTTGTTACTCATGGTGACCCCCCAAGTTTACACTTACAAGATGACTCAGAACAGAAGGAAATCACATCAGAAAGACCAGCCATGTGATTGAAGGATTGAGGCCTTGAGCCACAAGATACAAGCTGAACTTCTGGGAAAAGGGGCTGTAGATTAAGTTCAGTCACATGGATGATGGTTCGATCCACTGTGCCTCAGTAATAACTATGGATATCAATGACTGAGTGAGCTTTGAAGTCTATAACTACACATCAGCGTTCTGGGAGGGAGGAAACCTCACACTGGATCCTCCCAGATCTCTCCCAAGGGGTCTCTTTGTCTGGCTGACCTTGACTTGTATCATTCATAATAAGACTATCATTGTAGGCGCAGTACTTTCTTGAGTTCTGAGCATCATTCTAGTGAGTTCCTGGCCTGAGCGAGCAGTGAGCACCCGGATTTGTAGTCAGTTGGTTACACAGACATGTGTGTAGCCAGGAACACCTGAGCTCGGGGGCTGGTGTCTAAACGAAGGGAAGTCTTGCGAGGACTCTAACTTAATCAGTGCAGTCACACTAAGTTTGTGGAGTCAAACTTGCATCTTATGGACTTGCTAATTTTTACACAGCTAACAGACTTTTAGGACTTTAGCCAATTGCTCTGAATCCATATGCTCAACACATCCTCTAAATTGTTCATCTAATTTCCCACACCAAAAATCGTAAGTCTAATCTGAATAGTTTTTAACAGATAATAATAATGTACAATGACTAGAGCCTCTTACATTGATAAAAATGGCTGATTTGGGCTCAGGATATAGCTCAGTGGCACAGGCACTTGTCTGGCAAGCGCAAGGTCCTGAGTTCAATTCCCAGTACCAAAAAAAAAAGAAAATGGCTGATTTAATTCAGTTGATTTAATTCAGTGATTGCTAGCATACCTCACAGAATTAGGGAAAACAATCCTAAAATTTATTTGGAACCAGGAGAGACCCAGAATAGCAAAAATAATTCTAGGCAATAAGGCAAAGCCAGAGGCATCATAATTCCTGGCTTGAAATTATACTACAAAGCTACTGTGATAAAAACAGTATGGCACTGGCAATGAAACAGACCTGAGGATCAATGAAGCACATTAGAAGATGCAAAAACAACTCAAAACACACTCAGTCACCTGATCTTCAACAAAGGGGCCAAATACCTTCACTAGAAGAAAGACAGTCTCTTTAGTAAATGGTGCTTGAAAAATGTGGACTGGCTTTCCACATGCCAAAGACTAAAATTAGACCCATGTTTATTACCATGCAATAAACTAAAATCAAAATGGATCAAAGATCTAAATAGTAAGACAGAAACACTAAATCTGCTAGAAGAGAGAATAGGTAGAGCTCTTGAAGACACAGGTATAGGCAAAGACTTTATGAAGAAAACCCTGATCGCATGGAAAATATTACAAAAATCAACAACTGGGCTCTCATTTTATTAAAACACTCTTACAAAGCAAACCAAATCATCAACAGAGTGAAGAGACAACCCACAGAGTGGGAAAAAATGTTGTCAGCTGTTCCTCAGTCAAAGGACTAATACACAGAATATGTAAACAAAAAAATCAGACCCCCCCCCAAATTTAAAGCCTCAACCCAAAAATGGGCATCTGAAATGAACAGACACATCTCAGACGAAGAAACACAAATGGCAAATAAATACATAAAAAAGTGTTCGACATCACTGATCATTGAAGAGATGCAAATCAAAACAATGCTGAGATTCCAGCTCATCCAGAGTCAAGGAATCAACCAATAACAGATGGCAGCAGGGCTGTGGGGGAAAAGGAACCCTTCTCCACTGCTGGTGGAAGTGTAGACTGGTGCAACCACTGTGGAAATCAGTGTGGAGATTCCTCAGAAAACTAGAACTAGAGGTTACCTTTGACTCAGCTATTTCTCTTCTTAGTATCTTCCCAAAAGAATTAAAAAATCATACCACAGTGATATATGCACACCCATGTTAAGAGCAGCACAGTTTGTAATTGTAAAGTCTTGGAAACAACCCAAATGCCCATCAATCGATGAATGGATAAAGGTATGTCATTTTTTTTATACGAGAGTACTACTCTGCCTTAAAGAAGGATAAACTTGGGACATTTCTAAGTAAATGGATGCACCTTGAGACCATACTCTTACGGGAAATAAATCAGACACACATGTGTAAACATTGCATTGCTTCTTTGGTGTAAGAAACTGAAAGTGTATATGAAGACCAAAGTGTATAACAGATAAGGTGAAATAGGAAGAAATATTCAAATGGGAAGGGGAACTAGGGAGAGGGGAAGGTCAAAGTGAGGAAGGAAGAAGAAAAAAAAGAAAAGGAGAAACTGAAACAGAGCTTTTGTAAATGAGGGGTAGAAGGATGAAGGGAAGGGCGGGGAATGGGGAAAAAAGAGAAGAAGCAAGATGTATCATGTACAGATACAAATTCCCTATGATGGATGTGATCATTATGTTTATCTGATGTACCAATAAACTTAATTAATTTAAAAAAATTAAGTGATTGCTGAGAGCAAAATTCACTGCAACTGTAATATCACAAATGCAAAATATTAAGCCATTGTTATGCAGCAGTTTCTAGCTTGAATCACATTCCAATTCTCTCTGAAAATCCACAGCTTGTTTGAGAATACATCCGGTCTACAACCCTTGCCTTCTCCAAATGGCTTGAGCAGAGTTTGGTAGGACTCCAGAAAAGCAGTCTAGCCACACCTGTGTGAACGGGGCTAAAGGTGAGCAGAGAATCAGCTTACTTGTGTAATAGGCTTGCGAGACCTCCTTCATTTGCCTGCTTGTCCTGGTAGTTAAGATTTCAATCAAGGCATCTTCATCTGTTCCAGTGCCCTAAAAAGGAAAAGGAAATCTAATTATTAGAACAGCTAAAAAACTTAATTTCATGCTTTTCATTCTTAATATATTTCACACAGATGAAAGACCCATTTGAGTAAATGAGTATACGATCTCATATGCCTCTGAAGTCCTTTTCTAATTTCCCATATATTTCAGTACTAAAACAACATGAGTCATTGGGAGTAAACTGACATCAAATGTTCAAGAAAATGTCCTACTCCACTGTAAAAACCAACTGAACACACGTTAGGGAGAAAGAGCAGAAAGGAAAAAGCCTATGATGTCAAAGACTAGAAGTGGTATTGCAGAAGAATTAACTCAACAGAGCGGCCGAACTCAACTTTGTTTAGAAAAGGCCCTGTATCCTCCGAGTGTGTCCATCTCTGCACCATGGTACTGCACTGGTCAGCAAGTGTGTGTCTTGGGCCTGTCTGGCTTGGGCACTAGTTACCCCTCAACCTTGTTTATTTTGAGGTCACTGAATCACACTGATTCCAGAGAAAGCCATTTACAATGGGACCTGATCAAATAAGGCCAATAAAGCTATGAGAAGAGACTTAATTCTGTCTCTCTGTGGCCGGGATTCTCAGTTACCCTCAGTATCTCTTTTGTCTTTCCTATCCAGTCATAGATCTTCTGATTTTGAACTTGGCACCCATCTAATCAAATAAAGGCTATATATCTTGGGTCCTTTTACAACATAGTTTATCTCTCCAACTTCTGGCCAATGGGATACGCACATATCATGTGCAAGGACTCACAGTGTCGTTCAAAGAGGAAAAAGTGAAACTTTCTTGGTTCTTTATTCCTTTTAGTTGGCTGGAACAAAGATACAATGGCTGGATCTTGAGCTGCCATCTTTAACCAAGTGGAAACCACGGGCTGAATACAGAGGAGCATCGAGATCGAAGGGTCCTGGATAATGATGGTGCTGTCACACCCAGTTCTGAACTTCTAACATTCTTTTGCGTACAAGAAAAATTTATCTTGCTTGTTGGTGATTCTGATCCGTATTATTTCACCTGCTAAGCCCTCCCAAGTGGTAGCTATGGAGGTATGCTGCTCAATCTCACTCCAAGTGCATCTGCTGCAGAGGAGGTCCTTGGCCACTGGCCTCCTGCTGCCTTACCTTCGGATCTGCCAAGTTCACACAGAGGTCGTGCTCTCTCCAGGATGCAATTAGCCAGTGTCTGGGCCCAGCATGGTGCTAGGGCTGGGCACAATGTGTAGGATTCTCCAAGGACATGTCTGCTCAGGAGCTGCCATCAGCAGGGGAGGGTTTCTCAGAGCTGCCCCAGCGAGGCTCTTCCTACCTGAGCCGTTTCCTTCCGGCTCTCCTTCAAGGCATCCGACCCGCACTGCAGTCTATGGGTGCACGCACCTTGCAGGCTCTGTCTCCCCTTTACCCTTCACAGGTATCTGTTGTGCACCCAGTCCCATGCTGCTGCCTGGTTCTCAGATGCCCATAACTCTTCCATAGAAAAGAAAACAATGCTTTTCCCTGTGGGGAGGATACACTGCTTACACCTCCGATCTGGACCTTTGTCTTTTCCCTCTTTCCTGGCAATAAATATGTTCAGCACCTACTGCATCTCAGACTTTGCTCCAGGATCAGAAAATACAGATTAAGACTGATGAGGTTCCTGTCATGACACAGATTTGCCTTTTAAGTCAGATGAGAAATGATAAATAACTAGACAAAAAATTTTTAGAGAAAAAAGGAGAAAGAAAATGACAACATTATATGGTGATAGGTGTAATACAAAGATAAACGTGGCTCTTTGTGTTGGTGGTCCAAGGTGATTGCGAAAATGCTTCTCCACCACCTTGACCCAGAAGACCCAGCAACATCACGCAAATCAAGGGAATCAAATCTTCATGTTCACTTTAAGGGCACCTGTGAATGCCCACGCCATCAAGGGTCTGTACACTCAATAAGCCACCAAGAATCTGGAAGATGTCCTTTTAAATAAGCCACTCTGGCATTACAATGTGGACTTGGCCCAGGCCAAGCAGTGGGGCAGGCACAAAGCTAGTGGCTCCAAAAGAATGCGGAGTGTCTGCTGTGCATGTTTAAAAATGCACAGAGTATTAGGGCTATGATGTAGATTCTCTGCACATGGAACAGATCCAGAGGAACAAATCACCTGTGGTGCATGGGGAGCTCAGGGAGCCCAGGGTCAGCTTGACCCATGTGTGAGGCCCCCACCACACAGAGGTGATCGTTACTGAATGGCAACAAACTGTTCTGAATCAGAAAAGCATGTTGCACAGATGAAAACAGTATCCCAGAAGCAAATGCAAAAACAGAAATTTATGGCTTGGAACAACTTCAGCAAAAAATAAATGCAAATAAAAATTTAAAAAACTAAAAATAAAGCTGAGTAAATTAAGAGTAAGTATCTGGAAGAGAAGCATTCCCAAGGATCACATATGAGAAGCCCATGACGGGAATAAGCTTAGAATGTTCCAGAAGCAGACAGAGGCCACTGCAGCTATCACACTGAGTGAAGACGGAAGCATGAGTACTATGGTCATGGAGTAAGTGGGCTTGGCCAGATGAGATGCCCCGTTACTCAACCCAGCTCTAAGCTAAGTGCTGCTGTGAAGGCGCTTTGTCCAGTATCACCTGACACTGAGTGGGGAGACCGGCTGAGATGTGCTACACTCTAGGCGGGCTAGGCTCAGCCTGTGGAGAGGCATGAAGAGCGGAGCCGAGGCTTCCCCGGAGAGGAGACTCTGCCAGTGGGGAGTGGCCACAGCACGCACTGAGCTCCGGCCTTCCTCTCCTGACCGCCTGCCCTGCAGGTTTTGGGCTTGTTCACCTCGTCCCATGATTGTTTAACTCATTCTTCATGATACATCGCAACATACACCTCCCCCCTATGGGTTCTGCTTCTCTGGAGGACTCTGGCAAACACAGAATTTTAAAACTCTGAGATATGAGTTCAGCTATGTTGACGAAGGGCACGGGGAGTCTGGGTTTTAGTGGTCCAAGCCACTGGAAATTTGTGCATGTGAAAGGCATAATCTCACTTTAAAAATAACTTTTAAAAAATAACCATTTCACCTACTGCTGGAGAATGGATTAAAAATGCACACAGCTGGAGGCAAAAGGCTCAGCTGTGGTCCTGTTAAGACATGCTCGTGATCACAGCAGAAGAGCTGCAGTGGGTCCTGGGAGAAGTGCGTATGTGTGCAGTGGACTCTGCAGTAGAGTTAGGGGGCTTGTTCACAGTCTATGAGCCCTGACGGAGAAGGTGACACAAGTGGCCAGAGATAATAGAAGGTCTTTGGCCTTCAGCAATGGGGCTGATGACTGTGCCGTGTATTTTCAACAACACAACTGGCAATTTGGTCATGCCAAAAAATAAACAAAATAAGGAGGTGACCAAATTCTTCTAGCCCAGGAGCATCTGGGTTCTAGGTTTCACAACTGCCCCACCACGCGAAGAGCTATGCAGGACAGTGGCCAGGCACCCCGTGTCTCGAGTGTGCGCTGGGGGAGAGGCTGCGGCTTTGATGACAGCGCCCACCTCCGGGCAGCACGGCTGGTGCAGCGCTCGTACCTTCATGGACTTCTTCAGCTGCTTCGCATCGAACACCGCTGGGGAAGTCACAAGAGCCACCATGAGATGTTCAAAGTGGCCCGAGAGATCACCTTTCAAGTCGTCTTTCAGCTCCTACAACAAAACCCAAGGAGGACATTGTGAAATTCTCCTTTCTCTTCTTTTAAAGTCACCCAGTGAAAGATGAACAGAATACTGAAATTTGACAAAAGCTTGCCCGCCTACAGGGAAGAACGACAAAGGTCGAAAATATTTCTATGGCTATTAATCTGCATTTTATGATGGCTTCCAAAATATTCTGTTTTAGGGAGGATTTATATGTGTGTGTGGTGCTAAGGATGGCAAGCACTCTACCGCTGTGCTGCACCTCAGCCTCACGAAGGATTTTTAGGAGAAAGCCAAAGGACGCTTTGCATGGGTACCATCGTGAGGAAGTGCATGCTACAATGCACTTCCTCTAACTCCCCTGATTTGACCATTACATGTTCTATACATGCACTGAATTACACACAAATATGCACAATTAAAATAATAATTCATAACAATAAAATCAATGCATTTCTTGAGTCCTTGACGTTCTCAATGCTTGAGTTAAAGCAAGGAAAGAGGAAAAAGAGCCCTTAAAGTTCACACTCAGGGTCAGTGGCAGGTGCTGTCCTCCTGCCTGTACCTTGCTTCTTGCTGATTCCAATCAGCTCCAAAGAGAAAGGGAAGGGAAGACAGTGTGTTGGTGGGGGGTCATTTGCCTGGTAAGAGTCTGGAACTGGGAAGCATCAGAAGCCACTGCCTGGTAACAAAAGGGAAGCCTGAAGTATGGCAGCAGGGGTACATTACTTCGTGACAGTGCCCCTTGGCGCCAATTTCTTACATTACATAAGTACAGTCCCTCTCCCCTGCTTTTAGCAAGTAACATGGTTTCTGTTTCCAACACTCCGAGGAGTGACGCTGAATAACTTCTCCCTGCAGGTCTGACATGAGGCTGGCAGACTACTGGACTACTAGATGATACAGATGGACACTACCACGCCACCAGGGCCACAGGACAAGCTCCGCATCACTACTCTGCTTTAATCACCGCTGGGCTCTTTCCACTGTCAATGCTACATTTCACTTCCATCCGTCCTCCATATAAGCCTTCACAACTGACTCACTAAATCGCACCGTGAGAAGGGGCTACGCTTCGCTCTGGCTTACACGTTCTGGAATGCTGAAAGGCCAGAGGTCCACTCCTGCTCCCTGTGTGTGGATGTGGCACTGGCCCGGATGCTTGACAATCCATCCAGTGCAACACATGCTCCCAGCGACTTGCTCTGAGGTCAGCATTTAAAGGTAAATCAGATACGACCCGACCCCTAAGATACTATGCACTCACGGGAACAACAGAAGTATTCAAATAAAATTTCAGTGCAATATGCTTAGTATCTGCTACAGGTACTTCCAAGAAGGCACAGTTGATGTCTGCAGCTGGAAAACACTGGCAGGAGGTGACACCTCTGCTGGCTCTGGATGGGCCCAATTCACACAAGGGCCTGACTGGTCTCAGTTCCCACCCTTTCCTCTCCACAGTCCGTTATCCACAGTGGCCAACGTGATCATTTAAAAATATAAACTGGATTATATTATTCCTCTGCTAACAAATTTGCAGTAGTTCCCTACTGTCCTTAGAATAAAACCCAAAGTCCGTACAAAGAATCAAGGCTCCAATTGGGTGCCATGGCACATGCCTATAGTCCCAGCAGTCAGGAAGCTGAGGCAGGAGGATCACTTGAGCTCAGAAGTTCAAGACAACCCTGGGGAACATAGTGAGACCTTGTCTCAAAACAAAGAAAATGTTTGTCCCTGGGCATGGTGACACATGCTTGCAGCCCGGCTGCTTGAGAGCTTGAGAGGGTGAAGCTGGAGGATCACCAGAGCCAGTGTTATGGTTGTGTCCAGATGTCCCCCAAAGCCTCATGTGGGCATAAGTGGGGCTCTTTGGAGGCGAATCTAGAGCGTGTGATGCTGGAATGAAGGATGTGAGATTCACATGCAATACTAGGATTAAGGCTGCCTCCACCCTGGGTGTGAGTGTTACTGACCTAAGGGTAGGCAGTCTGGATAGGATATAAGCGATAGAAAGAGGGTCGCTTGTCGCTTGCTGCCTTCTGCCTGCCATAAACTGTTTCTCCTCTGTGATGTCCCTCTGCCATGGAGCCAGCCGACTATGAACTGAAACCTCCACAAACTGTGAGAGAAATAAGCCTTTCCTCCGTTAACTTTGGGTGTCGAGTATTTTGCCTCAGCAGGGAGAAAAGTAAGATGGCTGGACTGAGGAGCATAGTGAGATCCCATCTCAAAGAAATAAGAAAGCGAACAAAAAGGAGAAACCTCAAAAGACCCAAGACCCAGCAGACTCAACCTCTCTGCAGCCTCATCTCTCTGCCCTGCCCCCTCGGCTCTGCCTTCCAACTCTCCTGCAGTCTCTCTCCAGCGTTCCCACCTCAGGTCTGCCGCAGGTTCTGGCGCCTGCTGTTCTCCCTTCCTGCAAAGCTCTTCCCACCGCAGGCCAAGCAGAGCAGTCTCCGCCCTGCTCAGTCTCCGTGAAGAGCCCAGCAGGAACTGCTCACTGGCACTTCCTCACCCCATCTGAGGGAGCCATTTACCAGTCACCCTCCACTGCAGCAGCCACTTTAGTTCTCACAGGACTTCCTGGCATCTGAACTTACCTTACTTACTCGCTTCTTACTTTTCTTACAGAATACGAGTCACGGAGGATGGAGGGCCTGCTTTCCATGCAGGTATACCCCAGTGTCCGGGAGATCTCCCAAAATAGGCAGCACTTAACCAACAGGAACTGAAAAAATAACTGTGCAGCAACAACCGAGGCTCACTTGCTCTTACGTAAGTCTCTGGTGCTCAGTTTTCATGTGCTGGCTGAAGTAAGCCTACAACTATGCAACTGTTTTAAAATCAGAAGAGAATTTAGAGATCATCTAGGACAGGCTCCGTTGGGTTGCTGGTCGGATGCTTCTGCTGCACGGGCCACGGAGACTGTGGCAGCAGCCTTCGCCCCTACCCATGGGGACCAGAATCGCCCCATCCCACCTGCAGTAATAACATCTCCACCTGGGCCACGTGTGCCGTGAGGAGCAGCGTCACTCCTGGCAGGTGCGGCTGGTGTCAGACAAGCCTCGTCATCCCGCAGGTGAAGACGCCGAGGCGCCAAGGCCGTTTAGCCAGTTACCGGCAAACCAGGACTCGGGCCCCAGGTGCCTCTTTCCTAACGCGTTCATCGCACCGTACCTTCTCGAAGGCCGCCTGATACTCCTTCGCAATCAGCTGCCGCTGCGCGCTCGACCTCTCGGTCAGAATGCTGACGAGCGCTTGCTCATCGGTTCCTGAATGAAACAGAAATCATTTTACTCACCGTCAACCCCGAGACACTCGATATCAATCTTTAACCTAAGAAAAATGATCAGTGACTTGAAACAACTGCAGAGGAGAACATTTTACTTTTTAACCTCCAGCTTCTTATCGGGACAGAATATTTTTTTTCTTCTCTGGCTTATGGAAAAAGAATTTCACTTTACTTGGATAGTTGGGGGAAGAAAATAACCACTGCCAATAACCGTCCAGTCCTGTCTGTAAATGAGGCAGAGAGAGGAGTGCAACACACCTTCTGCTGCACCCAAACGAGGGTCAGTAACTGTCACCGCCTTGGAGCGCTCATCTCCACACTGGGCAACCACACCTCTCTCCTGCAGGGAACAGGAGCTGACACTTACGGAGAGCCTACCATAAGCCAGGCCTTCTTCCCTTCCTCGTCACAGCGGACAGTCCCTGGGCTCTGCGCAGCGGCTGTGGCGAAGCTGTCCTCAAGATGAAGCCACTGAGCCTCAAAAAAGCTGAAGTCACACAGCTGCTCGGTGGTGCAGTAAGGAGTCAGACACAAATCTCTGACCCCGAAACACATATTTCTATCTCTGGTCTGCACCGCTCTTAAGCAGTTTGCCTCCATATCCTTAACCATCTGTAAGCACAGGGTAAGGTCAGCCCAGTGACCACAAGGCCACCATTTTCCCAGTAATTATGACAGAATGCAAAGCTGGTCCACCTCATTTGCTGGAGAGGACTGTGGAGGAGTCAGAAGCTGAGAGAGCTGGCTTGGGAGCCTCAGGCAGGCAGAACTGGAGTGGTGCAAAGATCGATCAGAACTTGCTCCGTTTCCCTGTGTTACGGTGACTCGAGTACACCCTGCCCACAGATGTCCCCGCAGGGGCCCTGCATCACAAAGAGGGGGAGAATCTGCATGCTGGGTTATGTGCTGGCCTCCCAAGGGCAGATGCCATCCTCTCCCTCCAGCCTTACATTTTTCTACACAGTTGGCAGTTTCTCATCTATTTTTGCACAAGCTCAAGACCAGTGGCTAACCTAAACAACCCGTGGTTTGGGGACTGCAGCTAAGACAGTCCTAGTCCAAATGCCACCAAGACACCTGTTTTTACCATAGTGATCACAAAAAAGATCTCAAAGTGGTTTGCAAGCCAAACTGCAGAATTTCAGAAACACAGTGTCAAAAAAGATTAGGCAATAGAATTTAAAGATGATTAATTTGTTCAACTTGACACTAACCTCATAAAACAGTCTATTCAACACTAGGTAGCAAAGATATAAATAAACAAGTAACTTTCATTTAACAATGGAGAAAACCTACCAGGTAAAAATAAGATAATATTACTTGACATAAATCCTAACGGTGTACTTCACAGAATTGGACAAGCTAATCCTAAAATTTACAGAGAAGGACACAGAACCAAGAAAATTTGCCATATACCAAGTACCATCATAAAATTATAGTAAATGTGACAATGCATATTTAGACAAGAGGAGGCAAACAGACAATGGAATGCAGCAGAGGACAGAAAAACAGGCGGCAGAAAAGAGAAGGGTATTCTAAATTAGTGTGGAAATGATGAGCTCTTCAGTAAATTACGCTGGAACAATTAAATTCTTACCTGAGATTAAATAAAATTAGATATCCTTAAATACTATACATAAATATTAACTCCATGTAGATTAAAGATCACAACATGAAAAATAAAATGTTTAAACTTTGGAAAAAATGCAGAATACCCTTCATAATCTCATTATAAAAAAGATGTAAAGATATAATAAGCATAAATCCTAGTGAAAAACATTGGTTAACTCAACTTCAGTAAAACTTAAAACTTAATGCAATAAAAGTTATTATTATCAATGTTAAAAGCCATAGACTTAGAAAAGGTACTTTTATGGCATGCAGTTTAAAAAAAACAAGGATTATATTAAAAATAATTTAAAAATTCTGCTAATCATGAAGAAGACAACCCAACTGAAAAATGGATAAAGTATATAAAGAAGTAATATTTGAAATGGGAGCAAACAAGCCAGCGGGGATGGTTACCTGCACCGGGACCTGGGAAAAGAGAAGAGGGAGGGAGCAAACACACAGAATGAGATACAACTACACATCCAGTGGGAAAAACCGAGCAGCATTACTGCAGCAGGTGTTCGCAGAATGTGGAACAATCAGAAGGCTCACACATTGCTAGAAGGAATGATAATTTCTGTACTTATTCAAGGGGCAGTTTGGCAAAGTTTCTAATTAATTTGAAAATAAGCATGCCCTTCTACCTGGAAATTCTAATTCTTGTCATATTCTAGAGAAATGCAAGCCAATGTGCACAATGAAACATAAGCAGAAATATTCATTATAGTCTTTTTATATTGTAATAGAAAACTGTAGGCAATTTAAATGTTTCATCAATAGTCCCACTTTACAATACAGTATGAATAGACTACTATGCAGTTAAAATTAATGAACTAGAGCTAAACATATCAACATAGATAAGTTTCAAATATACTATGTTAAGGGATAAAAAATGCAGAACGTATACAGTACAAATCCATTTTGTACTGGTCGAGGCCATGCAAAACAATTTGTACATACATATGTAGTCCTGGCACTGAAAGTTACATGGGAATAAACTCTAATTTAGGACGGTGATCCTCTTTAGACAATGGAGCGGGAATGAAATCCAGGAAGGATCAACAGGGACGGTATCTGGAATGAGTGATGGTGGTGGTGGTGACAGTTGCTGGCGGCAGCACGGGGATGGCAGTTTTTCATATTAAATAAATATTGCAAATGTAAGACTGAATAAAACCAGGTTCCCTACGCTTTTCCTCATTTCACACTTTAAAAAATTTCCAACAATTTCTCTAGTGGAATTCTCTAATAGCCAGCTGAACCTGGGTACTTTTAAATCATAACTTTCCGGATTTGCTTAAAAATAAGCAGGGAATTCATTGCGAAACATACTCACCAATTCCTCTGATTGCCTTCCGGAGAGCTTCAGCATCCACTGATGCGCTAAACCCTGGATAATCTTTTATTGTCCCTCGGTGTCCAACCTAGAAGGAAACATCTGAAAGTCCCACTAGTTCACAGTGACATCTCCATTTACATCCCATATGCACTCTCTCGTGAACACTCAGGAAACGCAGACCCCTAATCTGCGCACTCCCTACGTTTCAGGCACTGTTCAAGTGTCTCTCCTTCTCCAACCTGCAGGCAACACTACATCTACCACGTGTATCATGAGGCCCCTCTTTTTCTCTTGTGTAACAAACCACACATGTGGAGCACTGCTTCCTGAGAGCAATGAATTATGTCAGTCCTGGCGACACTGTACAGTACTTGCTTTAAAGAGGCATCTGCATAAAAACAATGAGAAAGCTGAATTTTCCATGTCCTCTGTTTTTGGTAACTTTTTTTTTTTTTTCCTGTCTTTTGGAGATAGGGTCTCACTGTGCAGTTAAGGCTGGTCTTGAGCTCACTTTGTAGCCCAGGCTGTTGTCAAACTCACAATGATCCTCCTGCCTCAGCCTCCCTCAGCCTTCTGAGTGCTGAGATTACAGGTGTGCACCACCACATTCACCCTCTCCGTTTTTTTTTTTTTTTTTAAAGAAAATAGTACAAGAAAAAGAACAATAGCAAAATACAAACAAAACAAAGTAAGGGCATTAAAAATGATACAGGGTTTCAAACCAAATGATAGGGATTAACAGTGGTTGTTATATTACATATTGTTATCTTCAACAAAGTTGCTCAGATTACCAGATGTAAGAATAGAAGATTGATCAAACATTAAAGGGAATAAGAAAATAATAATTTAAAAGAACATTAGAGACAATACATAGTTTCACTGGACAAGATTGTGGGAATTTACCAATGGTTGCTATATTGCAAATTGTCATTGTCACATAAATTGCTCAGATTACCAGATATAAGCATGCAAAATTGGTCAAAATATAAAAATATAAAAAAAAACTTTTAATGTTCCCCTCAATAAACCATCAGACATCAGCAGTGCAGTTATGCCACCAATCCCTGAATATATATACCACAAACTCTGTTTTTAAGTAATAATTCAGAGTCCTTCAGTACATCTCACGCAGAAGTAACCATGGTATACAGGCTTCAAGACGTCTGAACTAATGTTAACCACTGTCCTTGGGGAAGCCTGCACTCAAGGATCCATAAATGAAAACCCTGTTTGGATTGTTCATTCTGACGCTTTGTTTAATGGATGTGCAATTGCAGCTGGTAAAGTCCCTTCTCAAAGCTCCACTGACATGAAAGCTTTTTAGCAATGGCACGGAAATAGAAAATGCCCCATTACTAATTTTAAGCACATAAATCAGAAACATGTCAGCAGTCTGGGAAGGGCCATATTACTGGAAGACTAATGTATTCTAACACTGCTTAAAAGAAGATGGAAGTACAGCCAGGAAGACACTGTGAAAAATTAAACATGTCCTTATATGGTGTAGCTTTGAATACAAATCTGTATAGTTTATGTTTTCTTTTTAAACAGGCTTTTCCTATCCTGTTACTGGATACTATTTATTGCCTCCGCTGCCTTCTATTAAATATGACTTCATTTAGGCTCTTCTGAAGCATTTAATATTTTCATGAAAAGACATTATCTTGTTACATTAAGAGTGAATGGAAAAGTAATGCTGTGGTACAGTAAAACATTATAATCTGCTGATTCCACAGAGCAGACTGAACAATTTGTTTCAATACAGTCCAGCACTGTTTAATTTTAAAGCATCTGAAATAAAGTGCTGAACCTATAAGTAAATAATTACAAGTTAAAAATTAGTTGTGAACATGCTGAATCTAAAGACACCTGTAGGGAATCAGTCACTCAAAAGCAATCTCTGGAGAGTTCTCTCCTCTCAAGGCTTCATATTTTATAGATTGAGCATCTCAGCTCTGTCCCCTAAGAGCATGTGTTTCTCTTCCTGAGCCCCTTTCCATGCTTGGTATTGCAGAAGAACCACTGTCAGAGGGTTTGTGCGCTTTGTGTGTGTCTTAGTTACTTTTCTCTAGTTGCTGGGACAAAAAAACCTGACGCCCAGAATTAAGGAAGGAAAGGTTTATTTAGCTCACATTTTGTGGCAGTTTCAGTCCATACTTGGCTGGCTCCAATGCAGAGCGGCATATAGCAGAAGGCAACAGTTCATGGCAGCAGAAGACGGCAAAAAGCAGCAAGAGCGAAAAGAGAGGAGCAGCAGAGAGTAGGCTCTTTCCCTCCCTTGTATTTATTGTATGCAAACTACCTGCCCCGGGGCGGGTGTAGCACTCACACCCATAATCCCAGCATAGGACCATGGATCAATCAAAAACTCTAGAAGCTTGCACCTATGACCGCACGAGGCTTTGGGGGGGACATCCAGACACAAACCATAACAGTTTGTTACCTCTGACAAACACGGCAGCCCTGGCATGCAAGAAGGACCCATGTCACATACATGGCATCAAGAGTTGAGCAGACTGCAGAACTGGTTCAGTCTACAGAGTGAGTCAGGTGGCAGAATCCGAACCTGCATGCAGTCTGGACTCTTCTGACCCATCCTGCTATTTCCTGAAATGTCGCCTCTGTGCTATGTAGGCTTTCAAACACACAGGACCAAGCCCCCTGCAGACGCTGGGTCATATCCTGAGAGACCAATGATGGGATCTAATTGCTTAGAAGCTCCCTGAGCAACTTTGTATGGGACAGTCAAGTGATTGTTTCTCAATACAAAAACAAAACTGGTTGAATCCTATGTAACATTTCATGAATTATGAAAACTCAAGGTTTGCATTCTGCTGTGACCTTTTCACTGCTCTTTGGTACCAAATGAAAATATGCAAAAATTACAGTGTGCAAAATTAGGAGAATGAAATTCCTAATCCATTATGCAACTTCTATTCAGTAAGGATTAAATGGGGAGTAATAACTTGTTTAATCAAAAGGAAAAAAACTACACACACACATAAACACACCAACTTGAAAGAGGACATGGGGAAATATTTTATTTTATTTATTTTGCAGTGCTGGAGATCAAACCCAGCGTCTAAGGCATGATAGACAAGTGCTCTAATGCAGAGCTATATCCCCAGCCCAGGGCACGGGGATTATGAGGTTGAATCCTAGTGAAATATTTAGAAATGCTTCCATTACTTCCACAGAAGTATTATGTTATTTATTTGATAAACTTGGTTGCCCACATATTCGGAAATATTTATATGACTTGCAAAAAAACTTACCAAAAAATAAATTAATGAAATCTTTTTTCTCTAGTGCAAGCCAGGCAGTGAACAAAGTACCTTAAAAACAGTCTATCTAACTTTTGCAATGCCTTTAATACGATGGATCGATTTCGTTTCTTTTTTTTTTTTCTGAGACAAGACTTTGTTATGTAGTCTAGGCTGGCCTCGAGCTTTCAGTAATTCTCCGGCCCCAGCCTCTCCAGAGCAGTGATTACAGGAGTGTGCTATTACATCCAGCAATAAGACGAATCTTATTATTTCCACTTAAAAATAGAAGAAATACAGCCAGGGAAGATGGCATATGCCTGTAATCCCAACTCTGAGGGAGGCTGAAGGATCCAAACTCAAGAGTCTTGCCCGGGCAATTTAGCAAGACTTGTCTCACACAAAACAACACAACTATATAAAGGTCTAGGGATACAGCTCAGTGGTACAGTGCCCCTGGGGTCAATCTACAGTACTACAAAAAAGGAGATGACGAGGAGGAAAAGAAAAGGAAGAAGGAGAAACTCAGTCTCAGAGATATTCCTTGCTTAACAGAACTCCGCTAAGAACAAGTCTCGGAATTTAAACCCACTTCCTCCTGACTAAAGGCCCCTATGCTCCACAGCACATCACTTTTGCCAGCTACTGAATGGTTTCCAAGCGTGGTTCCTGGATGAGCCCCCTCAGGACCGCCTGGAATTTAGTAGAAATGAACACTCAGGCCCCACCTCATTCTTACTGAAATAGCCACTCTGGAGTCGAGACTCACAATCTATGTTCACAAGCCCTAGGTGCTGCAAGCGGATGGCAAATTTGAGGCCAAGAAGCACAAAAGTAATGAAACCCTATTTTTAAAAAAAGTTAAAAAGGTTGAGTACGTAGCTCAGCAGTAGAGGACCCCTAGGTTCAATCCTCAGTGCCACCAAAAATAAATAAATAAATAAATAAAATTTAAAAAAAAAAGAACCACCGCCCACTGCTTTCACTCTGAGCCGCCTGGAAAACCAAAGCCAAATGAGCAAACAAGTTGTGGATTCTTTCACGGGTGTGGAAGATAAGGCATTTGATGATGAGCTCATCCTTTCAGAAATGCGGGCTTTTGTACAAACAAAGCGGTCTGCACTGCCTCCTCGCAGGAAATGCCGCGCCATTTAAATGACTAATCAGCACTGTGCTGAGTTTATTTCCAGCAACCCTCACACCCTAACACAGTGCCAGTGCCAGTGCCAGTGCGGGACACTGCAGGGACGCTTGCCAAAGCTATTTTTTCAAATCATGTTTAATTAGATTTGCTTCGACATCCCTTAGACACATTAGCTGCTCTGCTTTCTTAAACTTCGTCTTCAGTTGCCCCCAAAAGGACAATGATGCTGAAAACCAGCTGGAAAGATACAGTAAGAACGTCTAAATACAGAGGAGAAGAGCAGGTCCTCTCAAGAGAACAGCTGCTGAGACGGTGCCAACAACTGTGCTAAGAACATTTCCTGCCTTCGCTAGTTCAGTCCTGTGTCTGGTGGACACAAGAAACCTGCCCAGGTCCACACAGCCACGAATGGTCTATCCCATCCATCTTGGTAATTACTAGCCAAGGCTGCATCTCATCTGAACCATTTTCTTCATGCCAATATAATTTCCCCTGATCTTCTAATACTACCACTTAGAGGTCAGCCACAGTACATGACACCTTAAAGCCACTGATTTGGCCAAGATGGCCCTGAGAGTGTCTGCTGCTATCCCAAGAGACTGATCTGTCCTTGACACACCAAACAGAGCTGTATCCATTTCTTCAAGCAAGTACACTGGGCTTGTAAGAAATTAAACA